AAATTTTGTGCGGAGGTCAGATATGGTACTCTCGTTAAATATGAAAAATATGCCATTGTTTATAGGTTAACGGGCGGAATTAACTTGTGATGGTGGTTTAAGAAGGAACTTGTGTGTGATATGTGGATGCGCAAATGACATTTGGTATCTATATTCACCATTAACACAATTGTCACACGGTGTTAGACGCTCTTTCAATTTTTCAAGGACTTCATATGTCCAATTTTTAAACAGGAAAATAACATCCGTAGCAAACTTTGCAACTGCGACGTCAACAACACTAAAATATGGTAAAGAAGAATCAACTTATTCCAAATGTCAAATAAAATCTCCTCCATCAAAATATTTCAAATGAAGCAAAAATAAATAATATTCAAGTTTATTTCACGAACAATGGAGTTGGCGTATACTTGGAATGGGGTTTTAGTGGCTCGACTGGAAAAAAATTCTATGACATCAAGTATTGGTGGCTCTTGTGAATGATGACCCTAGTCCGAAACATTTGCCTCTATTCCAGCTTCTAATGGATATTTTGACAGTTGTCAGCTAGAGTAGAGTTAGAAAAAAGACCCTGTTAAATGGGATTTTCCACACCTACGAAGATTCGTTTTAAAAACATGAAATAAAATTACCTATAGGACTACAATGAAAATGTAAATTAGTGTTGGGAACCACCATAACCATCGTTTTGTTGGTATCAAATGACTTACTTTTGAACTTTTGGCTGCGGACGCAGTTTTAAATGGCTGATGTGAGATCAGTTTCGTGAAGAAAAAAAACTTTGATGGAAACGGAAACGTGACATAATGGTTTATGGAGAAAATGATTGTAGGGTAGCATTGTGGAACCATTTTGAAGTCGCATACCAAAACTAGGTCAAACTACTTAATTAATCATGAGTTCGTTCCGTTTTTAATTAACCCTTTTAAAACAAATTCAGTTTGATCAAAAAGATACAAGTATTTTCAGGTATAATTTATGACGTTTTGATAATGAAAACCTTTTTACAAAAAAGCAGAATACACCTTAAGCGTTTATTTTAATTCATTCTAATACAACGACAATTTGTGCTTCTATAGAATCAATTAACTTCTGATATATTTCGTATATTTAATACTTCTCGACAACTATGGTATCCGGGTCTGAATCTTGGGCCATTGAAGTACATGGAAGTGTGAATTAAAGTACATCTGCACGCAATAGTTAAAAAATATAACATACACATGTAATTGAAATCTTCTCAAGAACAAGGATTAATTCTTTCTTGGTAAACATCATCGATTGCTGATGTCATTTTCTGATCTCGTCTCCATGAAAATATTATATCATTTTCTATTTGATAAATACTGTAAGCTATAATCTAATTTACTCACTTGACGAGAAGCAGTTCGTTAACCCTGAATATAGCTACGAGTGTGTTAGCAGCCTTTATTCGTATCCACAACATTATAAATGAAGTAAGTCCTTGTCATGTAATAAAAGACTCACACTCAAGAATAGAGTACTAATTAGTGTTGACAGTTAATCTATAATGTCAAAAAGAATGAAATCGAATGATAATACCATGTGAGCAAATTTATTTACTGGGTATAATGCCATGGATTAAAAATGCATTCAGAATTAAATACAAGTGAACAAAATAAGACTCTGAGGTGAAAATGACATGCACAGTGTATTGACCTGAGCTACCATCATTCTTATCGCATTTTAAATGTTTAAACACTTGTTTAACCTCATCTACAGAGATAGTGTGATTACTGTGATATAATGTCACCCTGACATACATGCTGAATTCTATGCTCAGTATTTGATTTTAGCTTTTTCCATGTCATCATGGTTGAACGAGACTTATTTACTAGAAAACATATTGCCAATAAAATGAAATATTAACTTCAAAACAGGACTGATAGTCTTAGACTGTCCTTGGGTTGAAAGAAAATGCCAACCAATGAAATGGGTGAAAATAAATTCAATTTTGGGCTTAGTGTCATCAGAAGTAATCAGAATATATAAGATGATATGAAATAATGTGGCATAACGCATCGATCGGAGATGTCTTTTCAAACATATTTAGAGCAAACACTCTCGGGGCGGTGGGTTCGTTTTGCCGCATTGCCCAACATGCCGCATCGTGCCCAACTGCCCGATCTCGGGGCCATCTCGGGTAAAATGGTATATAACAAGATACCTACCAAAATAATAATCACTTAAAGAATATAGCATGAATGTGCTTGTATGTATATAATAATCGATATCGCTTATCGTTTTGCCACCCCTAATCATTGAACATTGAAATGAATGACGAAGCGATAAAATATGAATATTATTTACCTCGAACAAGTAAATTTTTGATAAATCCCTTCATCTTGAAAAAGTTTCTATGTGTGTATGTTATGGCACGTGAGTTGATCTCATGTGAACTGTAATATTGCTCGTATATTGAGTAGATGTTACTGTTTATGTGATCTGTATTCTAAGTAGGTTAATGGTCCTCAAACAGTCCAATGCGTTCTTAGACTGCTCTCGGCCATTAACCTACACCTAATGGTGAGTAAAGATTATTTCGATATTGTTCGATATAATCCTGAGTGGCATCATGTCACTTTAACCTGTCATGCTTTTTTATCTGAGGTAATGTTTCATAATATTCAACTGGAACATTAAGAATCATACTAATGGGGAATGATCTGATTATCCTCATCATGTATTGATTTATGACATTATCAAATAAGTTTTTAGAAACAAAGAAATGGTCAATGATCGACCTATTCGAGGACATCTTGCTCTTTCAAATGTGTATAACATTTCACTCGTACCATGCGACTGTGCACACTGAAGGGTATTTTAAGACATAAGCTGTTTCAAACTATCATTAATGCACATATAATAATATTGAATTACTCCACAATATGGCACATCCACCAAAAGTGTGCACTATCCATCCCAGAAGACCCATGTACCGAGATATCAGATATTTGTCTTTGGAATATTGATAACTGTTCTGTTACAATGTTCTTGAATGAAGACAATATCACACACTATACATTACGTCGCAAGTATTTTCACCGTCGATTTTGGTCATTCCCATCATTGCACAAAATGAAAGAATTAATGAATTCGCGATCCCACACTGAGCTTAGGTAGATATATTTTTGATGCATTCAAGCTTAGAGGTTCAGCGTTGGAATGATCAGTTTTTTTTGCCATTTTGCAAGGAAATTAATATTGGCATCGAAACAACTCCATATGGGTCTTATTTTTATCCTTAGTGCGATTATTAGTCTGTGGCTACAGTATACGTTTGACAGGTAACACAAACACTGGTTAATTTACACATTCAGCATATTATGTTTATATTAATTGACTTTTAAACATATTTTTTTGTAAAGAAAATAATCAATAATATTTGGAAAAAGCTTTGGTAGATTATAACAAAAACTACTGTACCAAATTATCTTCAGTTCTCGTAAACTTCTCAAAAAGGTTTTAATAATTTCAAAATTGTTTTGAAATAAATCGATTCAATTGTAATGTATGCAAATTCGTACTTTTTTGTTAACAGTACATGAATGTCACCACTATCTCACTTGAAAGGGAAGTAGGCATCAGTTTCAACATAACCAGAATAGTGGTTTAATTCTTGACCATTACATGCAGATTTAGCTGCTATATATTTCAAATTGTACCCTTTAAAGCATATAAGATTTAACAATATGGATTATGTGTGACATTTAGAGAGGAAAGAGTGTGACAATAGAAGCATTATAATCGAGAAAAAAATAATAAAAAACAGTTCCACCTCATGAAAAAAGGCTCCATCTGGGACTCCATTGTTCGTGAAAAAAAAAATTAACATAATGCTTTTCAGCATTTGAATATTTAGACGGAAAAGATTTAATTCAATTTGACATTTGGAACATGTAGATTAATTACTTTCTTCAAATACCTCGAGGGTAGGACTATAATTCATTTTTCTAAACAAGAATTTAGTGTAATGCATAGCAAATATTGCAGTTGACGTCGCAGTTAAAACAATTGCAAGGGACTTATTATCCTGCAAAAGATTTTGCCTATGAAGTTAGTCAGGACAGCTGCAGAAGCCTTTTTGTCAGTGTTCCTAATTCCTGTTGATTGCCATCCGATTGGCTTCATACTGTTTTTCTATGTCATCGCCTCCAAGCAATATCATAGACTGAAATGAATAGGATTGAAGATGACTATGCTAATTCTTAAACTGGCTGCTAAACGGCTCACAAGTTTATTGAGGATCAAACTTGATACCCATAAGCTGCTCCATAGATCATACACTATTTATAGATTACTTACCACATCAGTCAGCAGACACGTTGCACACCAGAGCGCAAGATTCTCCTCATACTGGACAACCATGAATCTTACATATCACTTCAATCTGTTGACAAAGCCAAAGAAAATGGTATAATCTTACTGCCACCACACAGCTCTCATCACTTTTAACCATTGGACCCGTCTGTGTACGGCCCTTCTAAGAGAGCATACAACCATGATGGATGACTGGATGCGGTATAATCCAGGTAATACAGTGACAATTTATAAAATTCTTACTCTTGTGAATCAGGCGCACACTGCGGCACCAAGAAAACCGTCCATCCATATCAGATAATGCTGACAATCCGACATTTTCAACTGCTGCACAGGTCAATGATGATCTACTTTCAGGCCAAATTCAAGACACTGTCTTCACCTCTCTATCTCTGTGAGATCTCTGAATCCGATTACGTTTCACCATCCACCATACTCCCACTACCTAAAGCTGATCAACGTAAGAAGAAAACTATACACGAAAGAAAGGAACCTCTAAGATTCTTACAGATACACCAGAGCGGAATGAAATTGCTGCAGCTTTGGAGAATCGTAAGAGACCTGAGAAGTCTGTGCCAATAAAGGCGTTGTTCAAAGTATAAAAGAAACCCCAGTTGTCAATTTCAAAAAGTACCACATCATCAGAAGATAACAGCGACATGGACCTTACTGACGAGTCAGAATTCGAGGAGGATTCAGAAATGATAGACTTTGTAGCAGTCAAAGAAACTGGAAAAGCTTACTATCATACACTATATTATATAACACGTGTTGAGTTAATACATAGTGATGAATATGAAGGCGTTTCCCTGAAGAAGGTGTCGAGCAGGATAGAATCAGACATACCTACTTCGTTTGTACTCAACGCTGATGATGAAGCAATAATTCCACGTGAAGATGTAGTTCATAAGCTGCCTACTCCAAAAGTTGTTGGAGGCATTGCGCGTAAAGCAGCACAATTTGTCTTCCCAAGTAATCGTACCAGATGGGACCTAAAATAAGCATTCTGTTAGAGACATTTTAGATCTTGCTTGAAAGATTAGCATTTATTTGTTATAGGCCGTCTCCTCTATCGTAAAGTATTATTTTTGGAGTACTATTCCACTTTTTGTGACAATATGAAGGCTACGATTTATATTATAGTGCAGTGCAGCAAAATGATTATTTGGCATTAAAAGTATAAAAGTAATCAACGCTAACCCGCAGGTCATTCAGAGATTTCAAACCTGTATATGTCAGTGATGTAAGCCAGTCGGGCAAGCGCATGAAAAACTCTTATCATACTGACTTTTCGCGTATTAGATCCCTCGACGGTTGAATATCAACAAGAGGCTTACGCCGTTTTAGTGCCTAATGTTCCCCACTTGCACCTTGCACGCATTGATCGTCTTAACTAGCCTAGTATTGCGCAGAGTTGTAAAACTACATAAATCATTTCTATTTATTATTTTCTGGCAAAAAAAATTTCACTTCAATTCTAACAGTGTCTCGTCGCATTCCTCCTGGCATTGTGTTTAATAAGTAATATCCATTCTTCCAGTCCAGTTTTCACCTAGCTATGACTGTAAGCTTGTGGTGGGTTTATTTAATACAACTTCCTGATTTTGAAACGTCAGACCCAATAAAGATTGAACTCGATATTTTATTCATGCAGTGTTATTTATTAGAATCGCATTCATCCATTACCAACAAGATGCACATAGCTAAGTAAGTACATAATATTATTGTGTCTATAAGGCAGTGTGGCTGCAGACATTTGGAATGGGACTGCCAATTATTTTTCAAATTCATTCTTAAATATTTTTTTTGTAAATAGAGGGCTCCATTGTATATAATTTGAAAGACTATTCTTAAAATTATTTCGTTTTTACAATGAAAAAGTACATATTTCAACTAAAAATGTCATTGTTTTCTAAATAATAACTATTTCAAGAAAACGATCTGGGATTGGCAGTTCAATTATCAACTATACTTCAATATTTAAAGTGACTGTAGTATAAGGTATTGACTTTGTTATGTGTGGTACTTGTTGGACACATGTTTACTACCTTGTTTCTTATTGGATGATTGGAAACGTTTTCCATTAGTTATTTAACACACCGTACGTTATAAGCTTCTACAGGTTTTATATTCCAACAGTACTTTACAAATTGATAGAACGAGTTTTGTTTAACATGGAGGATCCTTATGATTATTATTATGTAAGTAAATCATTCCATTTGATATTTGATATCTCGATATTTCTAATCTACGGTAGCGGCTTCTACTGGTAGCGGAAGTTAGCTTGTCATCTACCTCCAGTGGCAAAGTCAGGAGGGGCGAAATATCTGAGGTTGCCCGAATTTCTAACCTAGTTATGAGATTTTTTCCCGATAAACATTTTTCGGGGCTGCGGAAGGGGTGGGGGTGGTAGGGGCTGCCCAAACACCAAACCTTTGTAATCGTTTCGTTCCCAATCATTTGGACTCTCCTTATCTTACTTCGCATTTTCAGTGTAGATGATACCCATTATATCGCTTTGAGAGAAAATACAAATGGAAAGGGTTAATTTTACGCCACACCGTGGGTAGGATACTGAAACGTCCTACTTTTCTGCACCATGTGGGTAGGTATGTTACTGAAGATAAAAGTATAGGTTATTGAAGATAGAAGTATACAATTTGAAAAACAATGAATTGCCAAGCTCGACAACATAATGACCAGCTGAATTTTATATAACATAACATTAAAGAGGATTAGCTTGGACCCTCCGTAGAAAAGATCAGAAATATTGTAGATAATATATCCTTTTTGGACGGCATAAATTAAAAAATAAAATATATGGCCTAAAAAAGACAATATCATGCTCCTTAGGAGCAAAAACATAACAAATTCCCCGGACTATACAAGGTAGTGAAAGAGATTTCGTAGAGATAAATATACATTTGCATGAAAAGAAAGCATGGATTATATATTTTGCTTGGGGCTGACTGTACCATTTAGGCCATGCTACTGAAACGTGCTCTTCATATTTATTCTTGCAAGGATTTCAGTGCTCTCCTATGTTCTTCAAGAACATGACTGAACCGCCATCTTGTACTTTGTAAAATGGGTACTTTATCAGCAGGCTTTCACTTTTCTATATTGAAACAATTTCAAAATAATTTTCAATGGTCACTCAAATGCATTCCGAAGATTGATTGATATCGATGTCTGAAATTTACGACTGGAACAATTTGAATTGCTACGGAATTTTTATAAAAATCAATGCAAATATTTGATTAGTCAAAACTGACATTTGGTGTTACAAATTGCTAATCAAATTTTTCAATAACAATTAAAGATTGTTCGACGATAAGGTAAGTTTGTGATAAATCTATTGAATGAGATTGAAACGTTTTACTTTATAAAAAAGTAATACTCGCTGGTTTGATCGCTTGCGGTACCAATACACATTAATTTATTTGTCTATTTCGTTACCTTACCTTAGATACAAAGTAATATTGTGGTTTAATCACTTACAGTCGATCATATATTAAAGTCTGTCTTTGATAAATGGTTAGTTCCAGTAGATCAAGTATGAACTTTTGTTTTAAGATACCCCGTTACATAAGATACTCTGGCTGGCTCGATTTCAGTCTTTGTCAACGGAAATGATGTCTTTAAGGAGGCATGAAACAGGAAGAAAAAAGGTCATAGATGTAAGAGAGTAGTTTAGTGCCACAATTGGCAATCTTTTTCTAGTGGGTGGGTGAGCTTTTGTCTGTTTTGGCAAGTAAATATCATGAAATAATCGACCGTAGCTTCTCTAGGCGATAATTCCCTTACGAAAGGAAACATGAGATAATTTGTATAATTCCAAAATATATCCGGTTAAACTCATTATGGAACGATTATAGAGAAATTTACACTATTATAAAGAGACCTTTCCACTTTCATGTAAGGAACTGGATTTTCAGCGACCGCTAGCAATTAATTGATCTGGCATAATCTGATTGAATCAGACGATCTGAGCGCATCGCTTAGCCACTCAAAGTATAAAATATCGGCCTGCTTATGCAGATAATCATGATTAATTTGTTGTCTAATAAGAATTTGTTATATTATAGAAAAATAACACTGTAGGCTAATAAATTAATTAAAATGTTGCGTTTGCTTCGCATGAAAAGTCTGAACATGTAGTAAAGTAACGGTTTAAAGGATAGGCGTTTTCGTGGCCTCAATTCATTTCCCATCCCATACGAAATGTCTGAAAAATCAGATTTGTTTGTAAGTAAGAACGATCTAATGTGAAAAAAGTGAAGCCTTAACTTATTCAGAGCTTTGTTTAGTTTAAGAACATGACGTAAATCAAACAAAGGTTAATTGCTGTGTAATAATCTGTTACAAAAACGATTAGAATCAAACAAAGAATCTAAAGTTCACGATGTTAACTTATATAATTACTCTGTGGAAAGATCATTAACAACTTTTTATGTCACGACCGAGCAATAACGAGCATGTTTAACCGGAATAAAAAAAATCTAATTGATTTTAGACCTGTTTATTACAATGTAATTTCATCTAACAACATTTTTTTCACATTATGCTCGTGGGTTAATATTTAGCTAAAACTCAACAGATAAAACTGTATTTTAAATGTGCATAATTAACTGAGATATCGTAGGGAATTTAAGGATCAGTTTAAGTTACATGTAATTGACATTTGGACTTTTATTAAAGGGTGTATCTAGAAAATTTTAGTGTTTGTAGGTTGGTTCGAAGATTATACTAATCCGTATTGAATTTGGTGAGGTTTACGAAAATTGTATTTATATGTGTATAGCCGCCGAGCTGAAATTGTTAGGATTGTGTTTATCTACACAGACAAAATTTTTTCCAGAATACTTCCAATTGTGTGTATGTTTCTATTAAAGTAAAGTCAATACCTGTCAATTCTGGCGATGATTCAAAATTCAAATGCTAGGGACTTTGCATCAAAGAAAAGAAAGTATTGGATACTATCGTGTGCTGACACTACCGAATTTTATTTAGATTACGGGGAAACGGTCATGTGGGCGTATACTTCAAATTCTTCTGATGGTTACCATGGTAGCATTGACTGGCGAACTGTCAAACTAAAAGTATTCATTTTGTATAATTTCGACTTCTAATGATTTATCGATCTTAATATAACTGTATCTAAAGTTTAACGTATTTTTTTGCTTCTGATTACAACAATGAAGAAAAATGTGCGATATTTAGTATAAAAATCAGCACAAATCAGCACAGGGAATCGTTGTGACTATGTGCTTTGGATATTCCAATTGTTTGAGAGGCAATTAGCAAATCAAATCCGAGGTACATAACACGTGGTCGTTTATTTTCATGCTGAAGTCTTTAAAGCAGTCAAATCAGTGGAGATGTGTCCATTAACTCAAAACAAGACACAACTTAAAACGGGCTCACGCTAAGCTGTAATGCTTGTTTCAGAATTCATTAACAGATCAAATCAATAAGAATCCTTTCAATTATTATCTAAACACGTACATTGACAGAGCACAAATACTGGGATACTAAACAAAGCACGAACCAGCAATATTACCAATGCATGCATCTAAAGAAATTGTAAGGTATGTAAGTGATGTTTCTAGACTGGATTCAGATTAAACTGTGCTTTACGCTTGTAATAAGAAAAGGGAAATTAGCTGTGCAGATCGCGTTATTGATAAGATTTTCAGATCAATTAAATGGTAAATAATTGTATGTGGTAATATTATCTTCTAATGCAACATTTATGAGAACTAATTCAGATTCAGATGATCAGACTCAGAGCAACATTATCTTTCCGTAAACACTTACTTTTGTATATGGATAGTCCGAATTATCTGCCTTAATTCCATCCTATGATGGATATTTTGACAGTTGTCAGCTGGAGTAAAGTCAGCAGAAGTCAGGGTTTTTCCACACCTCCAAAGATGCGTTTTCTCTAACATATTATTGAATTACCTTAAATATGATTGTAAATTAACGGGGCTTATTATTTCTGTCTCTACACCAGCTGACATCTGTCCAAAAAGCTATCAGAGGCTGGAATAGAGACAGATGTTTCGGTCCAGTATATGGACAGATAATGTTGCTATGAGTTTGACCATATATCATAATGACGTAATCTGAATATAAATTAAAACCTAAAATATACTTTTGTAAATGAAGATTGAAATAGTTTGAACATCTACAGTAGGCTATTTCGTACCATCTAAGAACTTTGATATTCTGTTCATCTTGTGGTCATACTCATCTAGTTGGCTGAATGTCACGTTGTTGTAATGTTCCACATTCTGACCAATCACCAAGAGAGCTTGTTATTTTTATTGTATGACAAAACCTTTGGGGTTAAATTCAAGTACAAGCGTGATATGAATATGAGAAAACCAAAGATTTTTCCTTTTCCAATTAACATACAAGATAAAATATTTTCTGTCCTTGGAAAGACTTGAATCTGATTCAAGCTCGTAGATTGTTATATTTAATAGTTCAATAAATCTATTTCGTTAATTTGTTAATTATCTGTAAATGACTACAGACGTGTCTAGTCTTAACTTTGCACCCGAGCATATTTCTTTTATCTTAAATCATTCATATTTGTTTTGAAATTTTAATTACGTGTCCTTCAGCCCCATTATGCTAAACAATGGTACACTATTTAGAAACATGTCTTAAAATAACCAGCAATATTATGAAAAACCTAAAAAAACTAATGAAATTCTATTCATTACCAGGTTACCGAGCGAGCTTGATGCCAACACGTTATCCTCCTATTATTTAAACGGAAATTATTTTACACATCAAATTGTTGATGTTTTTGAAGTGTTCTCATCTTATACTTTAAACGTGCTTTTTTCTCACTGGTGCTCGTATATTTCTTTTTAACGAGTGATCTAATAATTTAAACATACCTCATATTATTCCCTAAAATCGATGGAAAGCTTCATTAAAGTAAATGATCAAATCTATAAGTTTTTTCATTGATCTTGTTGAATATTAAAACAAGAATTCGGATCATCAAGATGGACGTGACGTTTCCAAAGAAAGATGTCGTGACAGAGAATCTGTTGATTTTTTCATTCCTTAAAATATAATTCTTGATATATAAATTAAGACCAAAAACAATGTTGACTAATAAAAAATTTCAAATATAGAGGGATCGTAAATCTGCTAATAAAAATGACTTGCAGAATCTGTGAGCTCAGGTTGACTACATCAAGTATTTTATCAGATTCTCCTAGAAGTCTATAACAAATGGATTTGGCTAGTCACAATACCGATCACTATAAGCCTTTATAGCTTATTTTAACATGCTCAGAATTCTCTTAAAATGTGAAAAACTTATGTATTAAAACGGTGACACAAATTTTTATAAGGTGATAAGTGATTTAACTCAGCAACTAAAAATCGCCTTTTCAACGTAAGCAGTAATGATACAGCAGTGATCAAGGAACCAATTTATCATTTATTCCAAAATACAAAAATCATAATATGTATTAGTTCAGTAAAGAAATGATAGTAAACTAGAACTGTGAACAGCTCCAAGCATGGCGCGAAACCTTAGGTTTTTGGACTCTTTAGGGCTTCTATCAGTTAAACTGACAAAGATTACGACCAGTTCAATTCATAAGCAAGCCTGTCACAATACAAGAAGTAGTTTTGTCGTATTTGTCAAACTGTTCGTGTACAATTTGCTATTAAAAATTGATTTTGAACATGGGCGCAGATCTCGGGGGGACAGGGGGGCATCCAGCGCCACTGGTCCCCCCCCCCCCACATTGAAAAAGCGATCTGCGCCCCTGATTTTGAAATGTGTTAATATTATATAAACTGCCTAATAGCACGATAATACAAGTTTTCGACATATTTATTTTAGATTATGTGCCTGGGGTAATGAAAGTAGTTACCCAGCCAATTATTGGCAATTTAAGTTAATAACACTGTCTGCTCAATTTGTAGTATATGTTTCAAGAAGGGGATCTAATTAGGATGGCTTACAAATTACAACAATAAATGGATTTTTTTAAGCAAATTCACAGCTCTAGATGCATGGATGTTTAAATATTATAGAAATTTTGCGAAAAAAAAGTCGAGTGAAAAAAAATATATAATCATAATAATTTGCCTTCTAACGGTAATTTAACAAGGGGGTGGGGACTGATATTATTATTTGGCGGCAGATTAAAAATATATAGGCATGATCATATAATTCTTTTGTCAATATATGAAGTAAATGGAATTAGTAGTAGCAGTTTACCTAGGCCAAATTATTTTTTTTAAAATCTGAACATCCCCTCTCCAGAATCAAATCTTCAACTTAATATTTCAAATACCTCTGTCCTTGAGTAAGTTCTTGTAAAGCTGTTTGTCTAGGTGGAGTTTTTGGTTGTAGTCTTGAAGGGCCTTGTTGTGGTGGTGTCTGGAGAATAGATGGACTCAATGGAGAAGCAGGAGGTGTAGGATTTCTTGGAGAATCTAGACTGAATGAAAGATTGGCAGATAAGAAACTATCATCTTCTGTGGCATCTTCCTCAGGTAGGGCTGCTACACTTGATGACTGAAAACCAACAAGATAATAAAAAAAAAAGTGGTCGAGTGTATTATAGAAAGTGGTCCGAGTTGGTTTGTGTCCGAGTTTGTCATGAAAAGTCAGTCCGAGTGTGTTATAGAACATGGTCCGAGTTGGTTTGTGTCCGAGTTTGTCTTGAAAAGTGGCCCGAGTGTGTTACGGTCAACGTTGGTTTGTATCCGAGTTTGTCATGAAAAAAGGTCCGAGTTTGTTATACAAAGTGGTCCGGGTTTGTTTTGATCCGAGTTGTCTTGTATTCTTAACATCCGGTAGATATTTTTACATCTACTTTCGCTTTATAATCATTTCACGATGGCCTTGTTAGATGGTGATGAGAACAAAAGGCACTGGCCTAGGTCACAAAGTTAAGATTTATGATGAAACAAAGTGCAAGTTAAAGGTTAAATAAGTTAATTAATAGTCTTTGAATACATGCTGTAGCATTTTTTGTAAAATCTGTAATTTCGTATTATAAGATCATTCTTTAATTTTACTGTAGCCTGTAAACATTTGGTTTTAGCTTTCTTTACTACGAGCCTTTTTGGCCCGAGCATGAAACTCAATTTTGGTTTGAAAACTTCGTGAATTTTCTGGACACACACACAATTCTGTGCAATTCGAACGAGGATTAAATAAATGGACATTGCACGCTAGTCGATAAGCCTAGTTCATAAAATCGGTGAGCATGAAAGGTTAAAGGTCACGAACGAATGAGAAAATGTAAACAAAGCAGACGACACGAAAATCATTGGTCAAATCTGAGAAAATTGTTCGTTATTTTATTAAGAAAAATATTTAAGATGAAAACTAAAAGGATAATAAAGAGTTCATGTAACTTTTAAACAATACAAACCATTTGTATCTGAAGCAGTGATGAAAGTTTCTACACCATCAAGTCCCCGAAAACTGCTGCTGTCCTTGCACATATCTATGATGCCCTGAATAGCCAGACTTGGAGGTTTGGGTGCTGATCCACCCCCTGTTTTGTTGATTTCTTTTTTGGGATCTGTGAACGTTTTTTTAGCAATCTTCTTACAATTGTTCCACTTGTCTTTAACTTCTTTTGTTGTTCTTAAGGCTACCCCCAATGAACTAACTTTGGATGCAATATTATCCCACACTCTCTTCTTTTTTTCATTTGTTACAAAATTTGATTGTTTTGAGCTTAGTAACCCATAATGTTTTTCCACCTCCCTTTGAATTAGAAGTTCCTCCTCCTTACTAAAATTTGTTTTCTTTGTCCTTTTCTTATCCAAAGAGTGACCGGAAGCCATTTTGGAAATTAGCAGACGATATGGAACCATGGAATTATGGGTAATAAAGTGCTTTGGTTATAATTAAATGGTTGGTTATATTTTAACCGAATGGTTATGTAACAAGATTGTTTAATTAAGTTGAACAACACATTTTTAACCTTTGGTAATGTAATGCATTGTTAAATATTTAACAAATGGTTAAATATAACAGCATAGTTAAAGTAACGACAAGTTGAACAACCGGGCCCAGAGGTTTTATTATCAATGTTGAGTAACCCATTTTAAACAGCAGCAGTCAATTATATAAACACCAGAGATTTCATAACAACGTATTGAATTTTCTTTGAATTCTGCAATGTTTAATGATTTTAAAGGTCAAATATCGTTAAATAGGAGAAAAAGTACATTCCAATAATGAAAACCACACTGATATGGAATAAATACATTAGAAATTTAGAATCTAATTCGCTAAAGGTCATTAATTTGAAGAGAAGCTTAATGCATTATTGTCATATACTATTGAAAAGAGAACTACGGGGGCGTTCAAATTGTTAGTTACAAAATGTGACATGTGTGGTCTTATGTTGCTAAAATGTCAAAATGTTATATCTGTGGATTGCTGAGGTCAAGGACATTCTACACTGAAAATTTCAAGATCATTGAGGGTCATGGTTACGAGATATTGGCCTCAAAATTAAAAATAACATAAATCAAACGCAAACGCAAAAAAAAATCAAATTGAAAATTCTGGTGCCATCAAGTTTGAGGTAAAGTAGCAAGGTTTTTAATAGATCCAAATCATACAAATCGGATGGAAGATGACAAACTTAAGACAATTTTGCGAAAAAGTGTCACTCAAGGCCCATGTATCACTTCCGGTTTGGAAGTATATAAGCTATATTTAAAACAAAACTTCATGGAAATGTATTTCGTTCAGTTGGGATAAAGAATTCAAATGGGTCCTAATCGTTTCCAACAGTCTATTAGCACCTTCAACCGAAAATATTTGCTACGTATATTCATTTTTATAAATAAAGGAGATCAGTTACAGGCATTCCATGATGGTTGATGACTTTGTAAAGATTTCGAGATAAAGTTCTAATTAAAGCAACAACATATCTTGGTCTTCATTTACATATTGACAACCAATTAGATCTGGTTAAAGGTTTAGTCTCAGTTTGTGCGTTTTCCAATATAATTATGTTATGGCCCATTATGCTGTACGTTTATGTACGAACGCATGCGATATCTTGTCAGGTGGGCTATTTATGGAGCTAGAGCATGCTTTACCATCATTTAATTGATAAACAAGATATGGTGGTCACTAACAGAGATTGAACTGTTATTCGTTCAGGCTATCAGATTGTACGATTTGCCTCAAAAGATTTAATAGAAAGCTTATTTTTTCAAATTATGAAATAATTTTGAGATTACATGGTGCAGCGAAGTTTCCTTAATGAGAAAACTATTGGAGCCATAATACAAGATTTTATTGTTTCAATTGTTAAAATTTGTATGGTTGAATACTCTGAACTAACCGGGGCTAATATTAATAATAATAATACTTCCATACTTGTCCATAAGATGTGATTCCTGATTTAACTTTCCAGTGTTTCTCTAGTGGATTCAATCTAATCGCGATTTCTATTTCAGCGCTTATCTTTAACTTTACAAATGAAGTCGTGCATCATCTACCTACATAAATCTAAATCGAAACAAATCAATTATATTCCTTAAAAAAGAATTTTGTGTTATCATGTTATTTTCGTGATAATAATAATGATTTAGGCCTGTAAAACACTTAAAAAATAACATAAACCCTATCTATTAATGGTATCTTTTCCTTTGGGCTTTTAACCCATTGTATCTACTCGTTTGGTTCATCTAAATCCAGGTTACAAATGTTTATTAACCATTATTTATTAACACATTTTTCCCCGTTTTGGACCAGAGGTGTATTAACACATTATAATAACACACACGTACATTTCAACAAATGTCATTTATGGAACATTATCCAATAAAAATCGCGTTAACTGGATTTAAAAAAAAAAGAAGTTACTTATTTGGTGGGTTCTATTGTTCACTTGGATGATTTTAAACATTTTTGATGAAAAATAGAACGTTAGCCTAAACAATGTAATTGTGTTTGGTTCAAACCGAGAATGTATTTTACACGAATCACCGTGACAAACATAAGGAGAGTTGTTCGGATTCGATATGTATTCAGTTATATTCATTCTAAGTAAATATAATTTTTTTTTGCATGAACTAAATTTTTGCAATAATTATCAAAAGACAAGGTATAGTTGATATTTGACTTCAATCATTGTGGCAATTTGTAATACGTAAATGTAGAATGTTTATCATCTACAATCAAACGTATACGTATGGTTACAATAGTCGGTCGCGTTTATTCAATCCTAGAATTACACATGCAATTTTCAATAAATGTCACTTCGGTCAGAGGTTACCCATCTTTTACGACCATGAAGTCATAACTTACTTGCCTATTTAATTTCAATTCATTTTGAATTTTAATATTTTCAGATGTATGGTGGTAATACAAGCATAACTTATAATGGTGATGTTCGTATTAATAGCTGGAAAGATCTGTCTAAAGTTTTAGAATATCATGTACCCTTTGCCTTGTATCTGGATAAATACTGTACCCCTGTATGGTGTTTTATTGGAATCATTGGTAATTTGGTTTCCTCCAAAATTTGGATGATGAGGCGAATGAGGAAATGTAACTCATCGGCTCTATATTTGACAGCCTTGGCTATTTCAGATATGGCATTTTTAATTCTTAAAGTGTTCTTCGAGCTCCAATATCCTTGGCGAAAAAGCGTACTGGATCTAAAAGGATGGTGTTCTGTGTGGAATCTATTGTATATGATGGCAGAATACATTTGTGTGTTATTAGTTCTTGGATTTACTGTTGAACGGTTTCTATCAGTCTGTCACCCATTTCAATGTGAACGTTTTTCAAAAACAGCGAGATCACGGAATATTATTATCGCTGTGGTGATCATATCCTGCGCTGTGGCACTGCCCCAAGCTTACTTCTGGGATGTAAGTCGAGTTAGTGGCGAATGTCAGTTACGTGACAATACAGCTTCTTCTGATGGAGCGTCCTTATACACCATCTGGAACTGGGGTACAGAACTCTTAGCGTTTGGTTTAATACCAGTGATAGTGTTATGTTTAAACATCTGTGTTTTAAGACAAATTAAAACTGTCGGGAAACTGTATATACAGGATTCTATTACACGAAACCCACACGCTCGTTGTACAACAACAACAATAACCTTACTCTGGATATCATTTTATCTTATTTTCACAAAGTTACCGGTAACCATCATGTTCACAATTCAGACTAAGATATTATTAGGCGGTGTCATGTCGCTGGATGAGATGTCCCGAGATCCAACGTGGCAGAATTATTTCTCTTATTTTATTGCCAGAAAGGTCATAGAAGAAATTGCCATATCGCACCACGCTTGTAATATATTTATTTATTTTACTACCAGTGGTCCGTTCAGAAAGCATCTGAAACTGTGGATTTTAAATTTGTTTCAATGTTTTAATGAGACAGATGAGGATTCAGTAAGATCCCCAAGACCAGTTCAGTTATTGGATGCTGTTTAACTCAATGAAACTTTCATATATACCAAGTACTGCATATAAAACATTTATGTGAAATATTAATTTGTAAGTCGCCCGACAAAAGTGCATAGACATCAAATAGTTGCATAAACCATGTTTATACGGTGGCAAATTGCATAATAATTGTATTCAAATTTGCTATTTATGTATATGACCAAATTTAATGTGCTCATGAGTAAGAGTGCCCATACAACCAAATTAACTCAAAAAAGAATTTGCATACATATGCCAAAAGCACGCAAATGCGAAGTATAACAGTTTATGAATCTACGCTGAATATTAGCATACCCTACCTGGACCCGTCATAGCTGCTCAACATACACATCGAACTCTACCAATAGGAGCTTGCCTAGATGAACACACTTGAACGATGAATTTAAAAAAGTTCAAGGGACATAGATTGATGAACATAATATTTATTTAATTGCAATAATTAAGGGAGGGAACTGATCACAATAAAAGTTATATTTTCATAAAATAAAATTCAAACCTCCGCATTCATGAGTAAAAATTCAAAATGAAATTGAAAAGTTGCATCAAGTGATCATAACCTTCTGAAACCACACCTGCCATTGCTGCTCAATACTACAAAACGTAGTGTATCGAAAATTATAGCATCATTTGGTACCATCTCTACATATTATTGTGATGACAACATCTGCGATAACAGTAGAACATAAATTTTATAATTTTCGATTAATTCATGATGACGACCGTAAAAGAAAAGTTTTGAGTCGATTTGGTAAATACCCTTGTAGAACTAGCTTAGATGTTAAATGCATCGATCTAGCTAAGAAATCAGCGTAGAAAGAACCAAGTCCTACCGTATCGAACCAATTAAGACTAATATACTCCATAATCTGGCAAATGCAGAATGTTACTGCTCATAAAAGAAAAATTGACGATTGGAAAATCAAAATCATTTTAATCTTCACAACAGGATTACACATATTAACTTTGAAGACAGGCTTATTTTACAATCACTTGGCTGACGTAATACAAAATTGTTGACATGTTATCTCGGAGTATAATAACTAAAGAACACTAAAGCGGAAGAGTGACTGTCAGTAATGTCATTTTTTTTAAAAAATGTTATGCTGATTCCATTGTATCTCTCGTTTTATATTATTAAATTATTGGTATGGTTCAAATAATATTGTGAATTTATAGACTCACAGTATGCCTGGGTTTTCATCGACTATTGTTCTGGCTAACACGGATTTTTTTACTTGCCACAAGAAAATGAACTATCAAACCCTTGTGTTAAAATGAACGAATGACATCACAAAACGCCATATATCCCTGACAGCAGACTATTTCATGGCATTTGCACCCTTTTAAAAGGGCGCATCTGATTTCACTTGAAATTGCATGCATATAGATATAATCATGGTTTATATAAAACTGAAGTCATAGTGTTAGATAATTCCAACGTCACGAGCAATAAAAGGAATAGCTTAGTACAAAAAACATAAATGTCAACACAGACGTGTACCCAACATGTCAAGATTGTATAATTTCCTAGTTTTAATAAGTCTTCTTTTGAAAGATTTTTCATCATATAATGTGAGAACGTGAGATAATGACTTCCGTTTAATGACAAAGGGTGAACACTGGAATAAACTAGACAATAGCGTGTTACGGGGGTTGGCCTGTGAAAGGTCTTTTTTGAAGTGAAAATTAAGCACTCTTAATGCTCCAAATCCATTTCGGGTCATCAGAAATCTTCTGGCAGACTCTGGTAGCCCCCAAACTCTTAAGAGTCTTCGGAGTGACACCTCTCATTTTTGGCGTCTCCGTTAGGCATTTTCTAGATATGTACCTAATCTATTATTCATAACATATAAATAACATCCAATTGTTTGTAAATGAAATGGAATATAAAAGTATGTAACAAAGTCGTTAACAGCAATCTTTTTAGATGCGAACTATTTTATGGACATAAAATATAGCAGTTTGTGAAAAATATAAAAGGTTTTACTGGTATGCTTTAATCCGAGGGTTTACTCTGTAGGGCTCGTAGATAATAAAGGTGGTAGTGATATCTAGTCTGGATAAGTAACCAATTATTTATTGAAGATTAGGTATGTCAATCATTATTTAAATGATACTAAAATGACTAAATTCTAACAAGTACTTGCAAACCAAAGGGACAGGTTCACCATCCGTTTGATCAATCGTAACTAGTTTCGGCAAAGGATTTTTTTAGCTAAGCCTAACAGTAATTGTACATAGCTCAACGTCGAAATTTGGACTTCAAATCCATGTGTGTACATAATTAACCGCGTTTGAAAGTTAAAATGTTTTTTTAAGACTACGCCATATAAATTTTCGTGCATTTCTAGTGTAGTTTTTGAAGACAATTTACATATATTAGTAGTACCACAAACATCCCCTGAAAGTGACAAAGAAGTCTCTTGCTGACTAATAAGTTATACTTCAGATATTTATTGATGCTAGGAGATGTATAAGTCATTAACAATGGGTTCCTGGAAGCTATAAAGACAAATTTAAATTAGCTATATCTAATAGCCAATACGATCACTGATTGATCATCAAAGGAATAGTCTTCATAAAAAAAAACTAAAAATATACATTTTTCTATATTTCATAAAGAGTGTATTTCTTTTCTATTGTTTATAACGATTATTCTTGTGATGTTTAAAAATGTACACTACGAATTGCTCTCTGAATGCAAAATATCTTGAAAAAGAATTTTTTTAAGGACAAAAAGCTTCACTCGAAAATGAGGGGAATGTGAGAAACATCTAACAAATGAACCTTTTGGGTTTTGCCATTGTTATCTAGCAAAACGGTTCCTACGTTACACGCTCCATGATGCTTTTTGAACGGAATACGACAAAATTGTTTCATACTTTCTTCACTTTCGTCCTTTAATGGTAAAAATAATAATAAAAAAATTCGAAGATGACACTAGTTTAAAATTGCACTTATATAACCATCTTAAAGCTTTCATTTCGTATTCATCGTGGTGCTTTTGAGAACACTGCCAATACATTGTAGGTAGGTTAAGTGGTTTTAATAACTCTGTTATAATATTGATCATCGTGTTCCATATTGTCTGTAAATTGATTTCTAAAAGATTATGCTATATAACATTTTCATTTAGTACAAACTTTAAATCTTAAACCCATAAAATCTAATTAACCCTTTATTGTGACTGTTGGCGTGTATGTTTTACAACTGTTCTAAAACAAGTATTGCTAAATACATTACGTACTTAATATAATGAAATTTTGCCTATTATTATAATGTTATTTGTAATAAAATTGTATATTTCGGGGATGTTTTCCCCTTGTAATGTTTTCCCAATAAAGTTTTTTTTTATTTATATCTTAAAGTAGAACTGTCTGCAATAATGAGATAACCCAAAATGTTTCTTCACGTTGTCGATCAAACCTTCTGACCAAAACAGTCCCCTCTTCAAACAATAAACCCACTATCGATTTGGAGTGGAGACAAACGCAGCAATGAAAATACTATGTTGGTTTTGTGAATTCCTCCTCCAGAATAAATGATAACTGAACTTCGAGATAGTGAAAAGCAGATATATATTATATAATTTTTTCTTCTTTAACCAATTTCCTTGATACCAGACAATGTGTATAATTTGCATAAAAATGAAATTGGATTTCATCTACAAGTGGACTGAACCTTATTCCGTAGATCTATTTCCACTGAATACATCGATTGTCACCGGTTGAGAATTGTGACATTAAACGCAGTCCAGACAAGGCTAAAATTAGTCCAGTGAGGAAATGGAATGGTTGGTTTGTTTGTTACGTTCTACTTTTGTGCACCTTGTTTTGCCAGGTCAGCGACATTTGCATAACTCAAACATTTCTGTTCACACCTGCTCGACTTTGATCTGTTGTTTGCTTGTGTGGAGACCACTGTTTCAATTATCTTTTATTTCAACGCATGCTGGGATTGAAGCCCGCATCTTCAAATGATCAAATAAGCCAACACGTCAACACGCATGTAATCCATTGAAATGTTTTAAGGTATACTCATAGCTTGTAGCAGTAAAAAGAAAAACAATATCGTTAACATCATCCTTACATGGCCCCAGCTGTAATTAATCTTTATTGGTAGGATAATTTTATGAATGAAAATCAACAAACTCCTACTCCCTTATTAAAATAAAGTCATTGATTGTATTTATTGGGGCAATTTATCAAATCATTTCTATTGTTATGTCCGAAATAAGTCATTACCTATATCTCATGTTTACAGAAACGCATTTCAATCATAATATATAGGATTCAACTTGGAATAGTCTAATTGTCTATTTGTAACAGTCTATATAAGTAAATCACATTATTTATGATTCTTATATTTACATTGGATTACAGTTATCAAACCATTCCGAAGACAAATATCTAAGAATGGGATTTCAAGCAGATTAACTTAGGACAATAACTAATACAAATTCAATCTACAAACGAAATGATCAGAATTTGATATAGATATTGATGAATGAATCTGTTTACATGTAAATATCAAGGTTACACTGGAATAAATACATTACGATTGGAAATATGATTAGCATGTTAGTATTAGAACTATAAACTCGTTTATTCCATTAATTAGGGAAAATATTACACAAAACCAATTTGAAAACAGTTGATGACAATTTTAATTACAATATTGACGAAATATATATATTCGACAAAAAACAGACACTGGAACATGTTGTAACTCGTTAATCCTTAACCGACGGCATGAAACTCTTGGTAACAGCATGTTTCAGGTCCTGTTTGATATTTGTATATTATAACTATTTTAACAGTGAAAATATTTAGCTATTGTAAATGATTCAGATATGCTCAAAAAGTAAAAAGTTAATTTAACATTTAACATGAGTACAGGGATAAAGTGTTTCAAATAGTTTCTATAGATGCCATCCGCGTCACATTTCAGAATCAGTTCGGTTTTCCATCAATTGAACAAAAACTTTCACTCAATTATTAGATTGTCGTTGCCCTACAAGACCCAAATTCAACCTCCTATTTGAATTGCCTGTAAAGGGAGACAAATCTTAAATTATTGGCTTCATAATATTTTGTTAGACCTACATATATTATGTAAATTATATTTGGAAGGTCAACGACAAAAATAAATACTTTCGGTTATAATATTCAAAACCTAAAAAATTAAGACAACCACGATGAATTTCAGTGTTCTATTATGTAACAAGCCCTCTATCAACTGTGGGTTTTAAGTCCTACCTATTTACGAACACATTTATTAACCCCCTGTACCGCCATTCAAAAACTCTTCCGTTTTAATATATTTTTTCATTAATCCTTTCATATAAAAATCCCCTAAATTTCTGTTACACTTCCCGGATCATTCTCTTTTCACTCGCCTTGCCTCCAAAAGGCCTTATCAAATACAAATCTATCTCACTGGTCGCCGACCGAATTGGTCACGGGAGTAGATATGAGTTGCACCCCTTTGTCAGAAAACTGAATTTATACATAGCCAGCACTTTGGTTACCTCCAGTGGACACTATCAGAAGCATGTTGTGTTCGAGCGATGCGATTTATCTTACATCATTGTTAATTTAGTTGGGCCCTAGTCCTCGTTATCAAAATCACCCCTCTGCCTCACGGAACTCTTGAGCACAAGGTGAAAGATTACCTTGAACTAGATTCTACACATTATTCACAGTTAACATTCTATAGCCATAATTCAAAGTCTATCTAACTGCTTGATGTAGGCACGAGTTGTGCCCCTTCTTTCATAAATAAACCAACTAACTAACTAGCTGATCAACATACGCAACACACACTACAAATTCATATTATATTTATATAAAATTATTATCTATATCTATTGTTATTTATTTTGCAAACCAAAAAAACTTGGATAATGAGTCCTTTTCGGTTTATAAATCAGATAAAACACTTTCTCTCGTGTTTTTTCTTTTATGATATATACAGCCCTTTCCCTCAGAAAACCCATCGGGATATTTTAAATATTAATTATCATAAAAACCCGTGAGCAATTATTTTATCCTCTACATAGGATATTGTGTGAAAAAGGGGTATAACAAAATTTCATGAAATGGGACGTTCGATTTGGAAGACACCTTTTTCACGTACAATAAACAATTTGTTTCTTTTCATTTTTTTGAAAAAAATATTTCATGTTTGAAGATATATTTTATTCTGTTAAAAACATCCTGATACAATAAGCAAAGAAGATATCCAAGAGAAATCTTATGACGAAAAATGTGTGAAATTTACTTTTTTGATCAAAATACACTTTTTTGTCTGAGCAATATTAAAAACACGATTTTGTGCGATTTCTGAATGTTCTGAAGTCATAGCAACTACGATAACAAAAATTCTTACCGTTAAAATAGTGCTCAATACATCAATATTGTACAGCGAACTATACAGATTACAATAATCGCAAACTATAGCCGATCTAGGACCAATTTAAAAATCAATTTGCCTTAAGCTACGATAACTTTACTATTTTTGCTGATATATCTTACAGTGATGGTGCTAAAGGAAACACCTGTTCCATTGTTTCTTGATGCCCCAATTCTACTGATAAGGGTTTGATAGAGTAACTTGAAGAATAACAATTTTGCAGTTTCACATAAAGTATGGTTTATAGATTTTAAAAATCATAAACTTGTGTTTATTGATTCGTATGCAAGACATGTAGAGGCCCCGCTTTTTTTGTGATTTACTACACTACTGTCCATATTTTGAAAAATAAATTCTCAATATCATTGTGTCTCAGCAAATTTCAATGACTCATCCCACGAGCAGAATTTTTTCGTAAGAATTTACTGGCCAATGTTACTTACTGCTCGATCTTCATTAGTCACTATTAATCGGCCACACTGGTATTTGTGTGTCACCATATAGGCTATTAATGTAATAACGGAGTTGCGTTGCTTGTGTGGAATTTGTATTGTTTATATGTAATTCATTACTTTAATCATTGCATGTCCAATTGAGCAACTTGTGATGACTGGAATTGCAAGTCTGTAAATATCACATTTTGCAGAACGTCGTTATATAATACCAAATGTTACCATGCACATTATTTGATGAATATCTTAGGAAGTAAGATGTAGCTTTATCCTTGTCAATAGTACTCTTCATGGTTTACCATTTCCCTGGAATTTAAATATGGAATAATATTTACCGGCAACTGTAACTGGCCATAACGGGACATGCTGCCTTTGATAGCAGAAAAGACGTGAGATGAGATTGGAGTGTAGGAACAAGTTGAGCATTATGCTATAACAGGTGCCTTCGTATATAACGATTAGGGTCAATCACATATGCAATACACGAGAAATTTACGTAAAAATATGTAGATTTAAATAATATAAATGAGACTACCGAGGTATGTTGTCATTTATATAGAAAGAAATTGCTGGCGTAAAAAAAACATGTTATTGACCGAGTTCACCGAATAACGATAGAAAATAGCTCTGTCCGAAATCTTGGGAAGTGGTAAAATATGAGGATACAATAACAGTAGTTCGTTCTGTTCTGCTATGTAACTAAAGCAAAGCATATTATAAAATACAATTGCATATATAGAAATATAGCATACAGTACGACAACCGTATATTGGAATGAAAGGTTTTAGTACTAATATCAAAACTGAAAGTTATTCTTACGATATAATGGGTTCATCAGTCGTTAGGCCGGGTTTGGGAACATGAAGTTGGTTATTTGAACATACCACATAAGCACCATCCTCCAATGACCACCCACTTGGTATAACACCTTTAAAGTTACTAATGAATGTTTCCAAGACTTCTTTTGTTTCAGCCATTTGTGTGACCTTCCCTCCAACATTTGGTGGTGGTGAACTGTTGCTAAGATCACCCCTCCATAGCTCGACACTGCTACTTCTCTGAATTCTTACTACAGGAACCACCAACGGATTTGGAATGAACACCATTATTGATTTTAGTAGTACTTCTACAGCATTCGGACGTTTGGTCTTGTTTCCAGTTTGCCGTCTACGTGTTCCATGTCCAATAGCAAATTCACAATTTATACAGCCAATGTTTTGTATTCTTTCTTTACTATCTTGCATTCTTCTCAAGCGTGACTCTATACTTTGTTCCTGTTAAATTTTCATAAAGCACTGTTTCCTGATAGATTCTTTTCGACCACAGTCAGTATCTTATTGCATCTGTCTTTTTATCAGCCTAACTTATATACTTTTTGTTAATCGATTGGACAGAAATGATTACGAAAGGCAAATGAAGTGATAATGACGATATTACGAACTATGAAGCAATAGACAATTGAATACGTCAGTAAAAGAATGTGAAAATTAGACGGTTATTTGCTGTTTTATTACCCATTAGTTTGGTATATATATTTTTAAGAACGATAATTTGTTCAAAATAATGAACTGGATATCAATACAAACATAAAACGGATCTCAATTTCTTCTGACTGATGTTAGATAACATCAATATACTGTTTTGTGCATCATATCCATTTCAGGTCAATTAGGACTACGTGATCAGAGGTGCCCCATACACAAGACCATTGTGACCGTAAAACGTTTAGATACCATCTTGACTTGATGAACATGTCCGCGCACGTCACTCAATCATGACACTTTTAAGTCTAATTATTCTATATATAGCTTGAAACATATATTGATAAAAATAGAGCGAAGATGATGACGTCAGAAAGAAAGTAAGAAGTAATCATGAGGGAATAGTATGTAATTGCTTGTTAATTAATCTTTCTGTGGATATCTATTCACATTGTCGATTATATACAGGTGTTAGGGTAAAGAACAATAACATACACCAAATAAAATCGAGGAAAAATTACCATCATCATAAAATGCACGACATTTCGTATGTACAGCCTTGTATGGATTTGTTGGGTTTTTTGTTAAAAGACAAAGACATATTTAAGCAATAATTTATTTTAACTTTCATATACAAAATATATTCAAATACATTTACAATTACAAAATATTATATACATTATGTACATCTCAATTTGTCAAGGGAATTCAAGGCGCTGATGCTGCTGCTCCTAGATTTATACACTGGCAATGTGAAGGAACTTCATGCGCGACCAAACGAGCTCCAACGGATGGAGTCCACACAAGACTCCAATGTGCTCTTGTAACTTGTTTACATCTTGCAGTTCCGCCAGCACAGGGTGCATTTTCATTTCTACAATAGAAAATAGAAAGATAATTTTTAGTTATTCCCTTAAATCCATCGTATGTAAAGAGAATATGTTTTAACAACGTTTTTCATCTGAGTTAACGTCGTCACGAAGATAGATATTATGTGTACTGAACTATGTAATACGTTATGTCAGAAACATAAATATTATTCATTTTTTAGATTCGACATGTGAAAATGAGAGTTCAAATAGGTAAAACATGAGTGCTTCCTTGGCTATAAAGTATAAATTGACTCTGTGAAAATCACGGCTTTTTATAGCCTATATTGCATATATATAATGCAAATTGTTTTCATTTATCTGAAAGAGCGACGCTTTATAATATTTAAAAAGAATCCTTGGAAATACCATATCAAATTAGACATGTAATTGGTGTTTCTTAAGTAACATAAGGTTCATACGAATACTCACGAACACTTCCCAGCAGGAATAAATTGATAACTATTATTAAAATTAATAATGGTGTGATTCTGACCATTAAAATCTGTTATTTCTGTCATAATCTCATAACTCAATTCTCTGAAAGAAATATACATAAATTAATTTTGTAACAATAAAAAAAGTATTCTGTTCTGTTCTCGTGATGAAAGTCTTTGTGTTCTTTGTGTTTACTGACAACCAAAGATAAAATTAATCCGTTTCAATATCTAAAATTAAATTGTAGCCCTTTATCACTAATTATCGATGCTAAAATTTTCCAGGTTCAATATCTAAAATTACATTTTTCAATGTGTAAAATATAAAATTAAAACTCTTGTTAAACTGACCAGTTCAATGTTTAGAATTAAAGATAAAATTGTCGCTTGATCACTGACTATTTTAAATAAAAATTATCAGGTTTAATTTCTATCTTTAGAATGGCATTTTTTCAATGACTACTAAGTTAAAATAACCCGTTTAACTTCTTAATAAGAAATGGCCTTTGATCACTTGTGCACTTGAAATTATTGAAACTGAATTTACTAAATTTAAGGTACCATTAGCAGGACCTCTATACACTTTTTTCAATACTACAAATGACACCGTTTCAATGATTAGCATGACCATTCATCCTTCGAAACCGAGGTATTCTCTATTACGAGATTCAAAATATACCTGTACTTATCGTTCCCATCGAATCATCCGCATTATCAAAAACTTTTGTGCCACCAATATAAGAATATAACATCGTAATATACTCACGTGACACAACAGCCACATATTCCGTCATTAATATATTGTGCAGTACCAGGTTTACTAAAGCCAGATTCTGTAAACCGACTGACAACAATCCGTTTTAAACTGGTATAAGTTGGCTTATGTTCATTCTTATTAAAACTATTAGGAACAATAGACAGGAGTTCTGATTCAGACATAAATCGTCCTGGTAGTAACCGTCTTATATCACTTGGTCCATTCACAGAACACATATCTTGTCTCTTTGGAAATCCTTGAATATTAAATAAGGGATTGTTTCTGGATAACTGTGGAGGATTTCGAGAGAAACTTGAACGTCTTCCAGTTCGTCCGTCATGTCTGAAACTTTCTGTATAAGGTGAACGATAATAGTTATATGCCACTGTCAAATGGACAGACACAATACACATCACTAAAACCACTTGTAACGTAGACAGACAATCCATCTGAAAAAATATTAAAAAAATGTGAAATATACAAATTTCTAATTCAGATAGGTTCAAATCGACAAGCCAAGGTCTGATAAAGCCATGAAATTCATTCCTTACCTTTGCCGTATCTCAACCACTTAAAAAATATGTATGCAATATGATTTGATTTTTCTTACAAAAATCACCAATGACCAGTATCCGACCATTACAATACTTATATGCACCGAAAATAAACACTCCCCGACCTACACCACCCAAAATAAGGTTTCGCCTACATTGATTTCCGGGTTTTTGCAGACCTCCCTATTCTGTTGACCAGAAGTAATCTATCGATAAATGTATAAATAGAAAAACTTTATCATAAATTTTGTTATTTATTACCTAGTGTCAGTAAGATTTTACAATATATTTAGAGGGATGATTGATTGCTATGAATGTTGTCTAACCAAAAACTTAGTTGCTATTAATTTGAAAAAAACGAAACCAACTAACGCACCCACACCGTTTTTGAATTTACAATTGGTGTTCTCATATTGGTGTTGAAATGGTACCGTTATATCGCACTTAAAACAATATTGGGTCATCATCTGTTATAGAGTTATTTTTGGATACTTATGTGTATGTTTATTTATAATTTGAGTAAACCAATTTAGGGTAGAGATTAAAGATATTGTATTCTAGTCATGGGTTTTATTTTATACAACGAATTTGCATAAGAAGGTTGATCCAGAATGGATTCAACATCTATGCGTTTTAATTCAGTATATTGCATCATCAAATGATGTCATAGTGTTGAACTACTTATAAACGACGATTGTGTAAATAAACAAACAATTTTTTATTCACTAAAATATAAGATAAAATATGTCTCTGGCCTTCATTCATTTTTCATAGAAACAATTGTTTATCAATAATTTCATTTTGACGTTAAAGTCTTTAACTTTAAGATCTGTCATAGAAATCATAAACGTCTTACCCTTAAAATGTATTAACACGCTCTTTACAATTATACTGTTTCATAATCCAGTGAATTTCTCATAAAAATAACACCTTAGTATGAATGATTTAAAGTTATATCCGGTTTTAAGTGGGTCATTGAATATGGGACCTCATTATCATACGAGAACGGCATATATTCTAAGTAACATCATATATTGCTGAAGTTGACAGGTACATCTACATACACCATATCACACACAAGAAACCTTTTACCCTTAAATATGTCCTTGTCAAAAAGTTTGTCTTTACATATTATCATAGAGTAAAGGTCAATTACAAATCTAAAAAAAAGCTTGATGAATGATGCTACTTCAACGTCTAGAATATAAAATATAAAGATATCAGTGATTCATTATGCCTCTAGTCGTTAGTCAACGACGTAATAATGCTCCAAATGTGTATATTCAATGTTAATGCGGAAGTTGCTAACTATCCTCGTGGACGTTTACTTATTTTTCTGTTGGCGCATTTACATCATCTCATTATTCATTACACCAAAACAGGGAAACATTCAGAGCGTTCCGAATGACGAGATACATTTTTGAGGAGGGAGAAATGCAATTTATAAATTTATATAAATATTTATATAACATTATCTATTCGGCTACGGGAGTGGATTAATTTATTTCCTCAATAATTATATTTATACATTAATTACATTATTTTTTTTTATAGTATTTACTCCTTCATTAAGAGGGATCGGTTTATTTCTGTCTAATCTTTTTATTTTATCAAAATGCTATAGGGTTTCAAGATAGTTTTTCCTTTAGAATAATTCTTAAGCACCATTTGAATACTTTAAGCAAATACATAAAAACGATGTGTGTTAACGTTTCTCTTGATAACGCTACCTGTATGAGCATGTGAAACGTTGAGTTAATAAATATCAGAAATAGTATAATATCCATATTATATCTCTTACTTCTTTACCTATATGCAGATGTGTGAGTTATTACCCGTGACATAACACATTAATTAAGTTTAGCTTAAAGAGGAAATGTCTGTCATTGTCTAGTTAGTCTATCAAACCTATATCTACCTTTACAATTGGTCATAATTTACTTTACTTTTGTCGGTATTATTCGGACCTGTTTTCATTGTTAAATCTTCGAGATATTAACAAATTCGAGATCGCATAAAAAATAGCGATGGCCCTTCGTAATACGCCCACCATTGTAATGGCAGCCAAGTCATCCGGGCTGTTGACAAGAGCTATCAATAAATGAAATATTTCGAGAGTAACATTTTCATACTGCACAAGCTCTATTTAAAGACTTTTTTTATATTTTCAACCAGTTTCGTTTAAATCAGATCAGAATTATGTCTTCTGGAGTTTTACGGGCTTAAGGTTGAACATTTTTAAGAACAAGGAGCAATATCCATATTAAATATTCTCGATTTTCTGCTTTTCAATAAGATTTGGGTGATTCCACTAAGTTTCTTTAAAATTTGTTGAGAATTTTGCCTTGAATTTGATTTCAAAACCAAGGGCAATAACTCATATCAAATATTTTTCAATGTGTCTAATTTTCAAGAGGGTTCATCCTTAGCTGATAACATGCATTGACACCAAATTTTTATTAAAATCCATCAGGAAACCAACTCTCTAACGTGTCCACAACAATTGTGGACAGACAGACAGACAGACAGACAGAAACGACGGCTATATACGCCCACATTAATTTGTGGGCGTTTAAAAACTGTTGGTTCTAAAAAAAATCTAATGAATCTGAAAAATACAAGTGCCACAAATCCACGAACTTTTTTTTTTCAAAATCTTGTTTCATTGAGATTTTTACAAGCTACGCACTGTTCCATGGTATTATTTTGAACTAGTACAATTTATCTTCAAAATTTCAACATAAATCAAATAAATGAACTTTTCAAAATGCAACAAACTGTATATTATTATGTCGCATTAATACAATTTTCTGGTGTATGGGTGTATAACACTTGTTGGATGATGCTAATTTAACAAAAAGGTTTACTATAATATTTATTTATGAAATAAGATTTGCGTATCAACATATGTGTCTGCAGGGTCATATTTAGTGGAGGCTTTTTTCAAGTGGAAGGAGGTTGTCCTTTGAATCAAGATTTCAGGATTTTCTCGTGTGATCTCTCATCATCAATAGCACAGGTAGGAATTGCTAACATAATATATTGGTTCAAAACAATATTAAAAAAACAGTCTTTTTATTAATCGGTTGCACAAGTGTAGGGCTCTATAACAACTATAGACCTAATCTGTCCCTTATCTGTAATCATTTTCTTTCCATCTTTCCATATATCTTTCCATCATTTTTTAAAATGAAAAACTTTTTACAGCGGCTACGTTTTTGGTTGATGTTAAAAACGTAATATAAAGATTTAAGCAATATATAAACGCCAAATTGTAGAGAAATATGTATCTTGCCATGTATTTACAACGTTTTCAGTAATAATTTTATTCTTATTGTCCCTTTAAATCGTCGTAAGGGATGGCAAAGTGTCTACATTAATTATGTAGTGTCTGTGAATTGAATCATGTTGAAATCGGATATTATTTGCTTATGATAAGCAATAAAATCAACCCTTAAACTTCCCAGCTTTCAGATGTCAAATTCTGCGTGAATCCCATTCAGTTTGAAATTATCTGTATACTTATGTCTTGATCTTGTTTGGACACCATAGATCTAAAGTTTACAGAAACCTTTATTGCTGTATACAATTTCAAATATATCCATACACAGTATCTACGAATCTATTTATCCCGTTTTCAATAGCCCACAAGGTGCAGAAAAGTAGGACGTAAAACTCCATTCATTTCATTTCTACGAATCTACGATCAGTTGTAAGTGACTTATGTATTAGCACAACTGAAAGTCGATCTACAGAAACTTATATATGGTATATTAATTGAATGGTTTTATATTAGTGCAAGCCCAGGGACATCAGACAAATTTTGCACCTTAAGATCCAGTAGGAACAAGCTATAAACTTGAAATTTGATACTAATATTTCTAAATCAGACGTTTACAATGACATTGGAATAAATCATCATAATTGTAACCCAGGATATCTCGGTTTATGAATATTCTATTGTCATTTCACTTTGAAGAATGTATTTCTGGATTACTTACATGAATAAATTAATCATGAACCGCTCAAAACTCAAATGTACAGACTTTTTTTGGTACACAGTGACATATATCTACATGTCCTTGAAATATAACTTGGATCAGTTAAGTAAAAAGTGTTCCGCTGCTTGATGTCACCTCTACCCCTTAATGTCGTATGATCAAAGGATACTACTCAGAATTATGAAATACATTTTACACTATCTCCTATAAAAACAAGTGGTTGCCTAGCAAGACACGCCCACTTTCCTGATACATTTTCAGGATATCAAGGGCAGTCACCTATCTGTGTCAAATCATACCAAAAATATTGTTGATTTAAACAAACACACATTATTTAATAAAATTCTGACATAAACTGTCACCTCTATCGCCAACAAAATTTGATGCGTTTTTACTAAGTCAAGGGCAATAACTCAAATTCCGTTGATCGAAAAATTATCAAATTCAATCCTGACTAAGATCTCGTCATTATAAATGATCATACCAAATTTCATTTAAATCAGATGAAAACTGTACTCTCTTTTGGGTTCACAAACAAATTTTTACGCATTTTTCATAAATCAAGGGCAATAACTCAAAAACCATTCATCGAAAGATAGCCAAATTCGAACTTGTTTAAGATCTCATTATTATAAATATCAACACCAAATTTCATTTGAATTAGAGGAAAACTGTAGTCTCTATTGTGTTCACAACCAAATTTTGACGCGTTTTTCATAAGTCAAGGGCAATAACTCAAAAACCGTTCATCGAAAGATGGCCAAATTCGAACTTGTCCAAGATCTCATCATTATAAAGATTCACTACAAATTTCATTGAAATCGGATGAAAACTGTAGTCTTTATTGTGTTCACAACCATATTTTGACGCGTTTTTCGTAAGTCAAGGGCAATAACTCAAAAACCGTTCATCGAAAGATAGCCAAATTTGAACTTGTCCAGGATGTCATCATTATAAATATTCACACCAAATTTCATATAAATTGGAGGAAAACTGTAGTCTCTATTGTGTTCACGACCAAACTTTGACGCGTATTTCATAAATCAATGGCAATAACTCAAAAACCGTTCATCGACAGATCGTCAAATTCGAACTTGTCCAAGATCTCATGAATATAAATGATTACACCAAATTACATTCAAATCAGATAAAAACTGTAGTCTCTATTACGTTCACAAGCCAACTGTGGATGGACAGACCGACGGAATACGCTTGTTCTTAACAGACTTATAGATGATATAGTATCATCCAATCATTCAAAACTATTTTGCTAACCCTGAGCCAGTGCCTTCAGTTGGATAGTAATACATTCAAATATCTCAGAACATCAAGAAGATTTTACTTTGTTCTGCTTCGCCAGACGTCAATAGTACAGATTGCACAAAAGAATGTATTAAATTAAACACCTTGTTCAATCAGGTAAGAATGACCAACATCAGTTTACAGAATATTAAATATCATAAGATATAAGATAAAGTGTTGGTTATATCTTATACCCTGGCAAAACAATGAGGAATTGTTTGATGTAGGTTTTCGTTTTGTTTCCATTTTTTAAAATTTTCAATTTTGATTGAGCTTCATTCAGAATAAATGAAGGGTTTAAATGAAATGAAATAAATGAAGTTTTACGTCCTACTTTTCTGCGCAGTGAAGGGTGACTATAAGTGGTTGGCAAGTCAGACCAATTAGTTTCCGATATTTTTGAAAGTAAAGTATTTTGCCACAATGTTTGATAATATAATAGTTCATACGCTTTATAAGAATCTGATAATAAATCTGCTTGGTGTAATTACAGCAAAAACCATGTTCGCTTTTCTGTTAGCTGGTGGTTTTCTGTAATATGATCCTAGATATCACGTGTCATTCTTTATTGGTATGTTTTGCACGTTTGCTGCTACATTAACTTTTCATTGAGCTTGTTTGACCTACTAAATTGTCATAATCCAGAACTTCAGGCTTTAGAACTGTATATAGATCTTCGGATCAAATACAATGCTATACAGAACATAATAATTAACAAGAAAAACGAGAGAGACTTATATACAAATTTAAACTTGGCCTAACATATTATTGTACTTAGTTTAAATCTCAATTTAGACAAATCTTTTACTTCGATTGCTATAGAAGATTTTGTATTAAACTTGTCTCCATTTAATCACAGATCTCTAATAAGTAAGTCAAACCCAGTCAAAATTAATCGTTCTCATTGTATTCTCAATGGATCTGGCTGTTCAACTGACTGCGACGGATCCAATGTGATAGTGGACCCAAGATTTATTTAAAGGAAGAGAAAATGATAAGAAGACTATATTCTTTTTATGCTGAAGTGTATTAAATTATATAGCGAAATTAAACCAGAACATAAAAATAAATTATCATTCGAAAAATCGCCGCAAGCCCACGTGGGCGTTACCTTAAAGGTTAATTTATTTTCTACACAATTTCCAATAAGAAACATGGGATGATTTTATATTGTGAAATTGAATTTTCCTCATTTACTGATAACATTTGCCTTTTGATGTGTCAATCGTTCATCAACATCAGCTATAGGTCAAATTATTTATACAGACGTCAGACTGACGTCATTGTGAATAAATCAAAACGTAAATCAAAAGGAAGTATTATATTTATATGCCTAAAATCTTAATATTCACTCACAGACATACATTTTGTCACCTGGATGTACATATGTGTCAGGTCAGCTGTGATGAATGGGAAAATATATATTTAAGCATATCCTTTCTTTAATATTTGCGGCAGAGAACGCGAGATTTCTAAAGGATGCTATCGGACGACTCAGTTTTTGTAAAGATAGTGTATGATTACTGTTTGAACAGTGTGAGGTGTGTCTAGCTGGCTAAATAGATAGTTTACTACATCTTACTATGTACCCCAACTAAATTAAATTAAATGTGATCAACACATCTGACGGTTAAAATATTAAGTGAGTTCAGATCAAGACAATAGGGCTTTTAACAGTTTATAGTTTTTCAAATTAAAAGATATAATCTGGCCTCAGTGCAATGATATATCTAATGATGTATTTAATAGCTGTCACATCGGACTGTAGCCATTTGCGATCTTACGACTTAATATGTACTGGGTCACCGGAAAACGCGAGAAATGATCCGATAGAAATTATAAAAAACTGCACTCAAACTGCTTCATATATTGACAACATTGCGTTCTAGCGGAAAATTTCTAATTAAATTTATGAGCCTGTGTATTCTTACTTTTATTGCGGTCATGGAGACATTCTCGATTCCGTGGCAATCTCAACGGCAATTATTGGCAACTAAAGCGCCCATCGCACGATATCTGACGCTTCCTACACGCTAATACGACGACCATATTTTATTTCCACGTACCAGAACAATGAGGATACCTTCCTGGTGTGACGGAGCTATTATTTGAAATATGAAAAACAAAATCTTCACTTCAAAATCCTGAATATAGCAAATCATCATCTGTATGTATACTCTCATTCCTTTTCTCCTTTCAAATGAAAATATTGCATATTGTCGTCATAATATGTCATTGTCACATATAATAATATCAGCATATTATCAGCAAAAATAATTAGACAAGAGAAAATATAACACAGGAAGACGTCATAGATATTATTTAATAACGGAATACATAATAATACTGGGGTAAGGTCAACATAAACAAAGTTATTATATCTGTACATAATGGTCCGATCGCAAAATACATTTAAATAGATTTGGGACCATATAGTACTATATTTACATTATCTGTCTCTAATCAAAATTACACCAAACTTTCGTTCCGTTTTTTAGAGTTAGTTAGAGTCTACAGACGGCCTTCGAGAACATTCGTCCGTTTGACGACACCTCCAGCCAATCCAATTTCTGCCCTCTCCATCGCTTCCATGTTGTGCAAAAAAATGTGCATTCATTGTCTAATGCTTCTCGGCATACACCTTTTGTTTGCGTTACAAAATCCCAGCGTTGTAGAAAACGGAACAAACAGTTGGTCTAATTTTAATTAGAATATGGCGGGATAATAGTTAACATTTTGGTCCTTCACTTTGTACCAGTTCATTTTGTTACTTTATGACAATATCTATACATAATATACAGGATGGCAAAAGATTTATTAAAATTTTATTAAATCCTTAAAAAAAATTAGCGGGCGAATTTCTTGAAATGGTCAATATGGTCAACATATGTGGATTTTCCTAATTTTTTGCTGTTCAACCGATTACATGATGGAAGAACTGCCAGAAAAATAATGGTAATTAATGAGTAATTCACAATATTTGGTACAATGTATGTAAGCATGCCTTCAACATAGTTTGAAATATACTGTGTATTTCCTAACTCTGAGACTTGAGCCACCCTGGCACTTCCATGATTTTACTTTCAGAAATGCCGCGCATTGGTCATGCTAAGGCATGCCATTTTGTGGCCTATTCGCTCACTATACTCGCATAAGTAACGCACTGTATATTCAATACACTACCAATAAGGGGTCACATTGACACGCATAGGTTACGTTAGACCGAAACATCTGCCTTTATTCCAGCTTCTGATAGCTATCTTGAAAGAAAAATTTTTAAACGAATTTATTTAGATCGCCAAACTCAAATATATTCGGAAAGCTGGATATTTTCATAGTTCAGTCATACAATCATAATCCATCTAAACCATTTGTGTCACGTCTACGATTCCATCAAAGTTTTACGAAACTGATCTCTCGTTGGCCATTTAAAACTACGTGTGCTCAACAAACTCACGTGATACTAATAAAACAATAGTTACAATGATATCATACAGTAATCTATCGTAAGGTAATTCAATATTATGTAAGAAAAGCGCATTATTGAAGGTGTGGTAAACCCCTATAAAACAGGACCATTTTTTTTTACTCTAGCCAATAACTGTTCAAATAGATCAAAAGTTGGAATAAAGGCAGATGTTTCTGACTAAGGCACCGTCTGCAAATTTTTGAGTGTCAATTTTTTGGAAATTTTAAACTTCGAAAACTTTAATCATTGGCATGTTGATGTTCGTGTCAATGCGAGGAAAGAAATTTGAAATAAATGAAAACAGAACAATCCAAAATAATACTGCATGAATTACTATCGATTTACTAGTTAGTCCAATATAGATTATCATCCAGAGGGGCGACCGATATTCAGACATTCGCAATGAGAATGCACTTTGATTGGGACAAAACTGACAGGTGGTCCGGCATGGACCTCTGAGTTATTGTAAACGAGTACCCAATGAGCACGATATTTCTGTACGCATTCTCCATGACTACATGACAAGCTGGATCTGAAATGTAGATTTAATTATAGATAATAAACGTAACGTAACGTACGCGGCCGGCAGCTGTCGGAACAACAGTTACATTACGTTAAATAGTAGGTTTCTCATATCAAAGAGCTTTATGATGCGTTTTTATGTGTATAATAATTTACAAGGTTTTCCACAAAATATTTTAAATCAATTGCAAATACCTCCAATTGTCAAAATCTCACTGCTCTCAAAATTTGAATAAGTCAAAACAAATATCTCTAAAAATGTTGAACGAATTATTGTCAATTTCGAAGTTATCATCAATCATCTTAGCGATGCATATTAATTTAACAACAGGATTGGTAATAACTTAACCTCTGGTCACGTCCTCACAGCTTGACTGAGACATCGATATGTGAATATGCTTATAAAGTTTCATTTACACCCACCGATAATATAATAGTAATATCCTTTATAATGTCTAAGGGGAGGTAACTTTTTAAAAAAAAATTATAATGAAAGATAACCTTGTTCAAAAAACTCTAGAACTCACATTTTACTATGAAATTGCAAACTAATTGTTTACTTTTTAAACTCCAACAAGTGAGTAGTGGCTGATATGAGTAGAAGTGACAGTTTGAACGAGCATAATATATTTAGCACTGTGGTTTTCAACATAATACATTGTGGATTCTGTTTGAATTTAATAAATACAATAATGTCTGAAATAATGTCTCTGAGATCCAGTGACAATGTTGATCAGATCATGAAAATTTACAGGATTATTTGTAGAATATTGAATGCTTTGAAATTTATTGGGGATATTTTCAGATTTTAGTTAGCCCACAAAATAAATTAAAAGTACATGTACCATAATAGTGAAGAGTTACTGTCAGTTCCTATGACATTCATGACTTTACATTGTATGGGGGATTAAGATGCTTTATAAATCAGCCAACTTCTGATAGTTATTACTGATGACAGGAAGTTGTATTAAAACATTGACATTCGACATACCTGCACTTTCCAACAGGAACAAATTGATATCTTCCCCTCAAATGAACCAAGGTATAGTTGTTGTTATTAATTCTCGTAAAATTGGGTGTTTCATATTTCATGTCCCTAAAAAAAATAATATTATAGGGATGTAACCTATGTTTGATAGGCCATGAGGTCTTGCATTTCAACCCATTTCCGAAAACATTCGGAGTATATCGTTAAAGAAGCCATGTAGTTCTTGTCCCTTCTCGTCTGTATTGTGTCATTTAATGAAATTTGTATTGTACAGGGTGTCTGTAAAGGCTTTACACTTAAGCAAAACCATATTTAATCTGTTGAGGCAAATTTTAGTGTGCTATGATTTATTATGATTCTTATTGCTGTAATATTCTTGAATATCATAGACATATATGTTTTGCCTATGTGTCACACTTAACGGACATCTTTATTTTGATTTCTTGTCTGACAATTAACATAATTATCAAATGTTAAACTTACGTCTCACAGCAACCATATGATATGTCCATACCAGAAGGTCTGTAATGTGGATTGGCAGCTGCACCAGATCTACGCCCAACATATTGATTATTGGAATAATATCCTGGGAGATCAGGTACAGCCTTTGGTGGCTCTGTCTGGAATAATCCATTGTAAAGTTCTGAAATCAACTCTTCAAGCGACTTTGACTGTCGAACACATCTACTACACTCGGAATTGCATCCATAACATTCCATGTCGTGTCCATTCGCTGAATGGTTGATAAGGCTACACAAATAGATGGACAATAGTAGTATCCATAAGACTGAAACTGAATAACAAAAAGCGTAAGCTACCTCCCAATTGCAATCTTTTGCTTGGAAAGCAGAAATAGTATATTATTAATGGCCTTGAAACTTTGATATAAAACAAATAGAAAATGTTAAATAGATCTAATACTTTCAAACATGCAAAATGTGCACTTGATTCATGTGTGAAATCTAGCAGACCCGAAAAGCATCGATCAACTATCATTTAAGTTCTTAGTTAACAAATTTTAAGCCATGCACGAAGACAAAGAAACAATGCTCCACGTGAAAACTCCTAGTGACATGTAAGGAAAGCAATCAGCAAAGTTGAAAGCGATGCCAGATACCAAAATCAAATTGAACTTTTAAATGTTTCTGACCAGATACAGTTCACATAGACAAGTCCTTTTTGAAGTTAAAAGCTAACATAATTATGCTTTTCGCTAACCTATTCATTTCACATAAATGTATTTTGGTATTATGTGAATTCTAAAAATATCTTACCTTTACACAACATTGCAATTCAAAATAGTTACAAGATTACGTCAAATATAAACACTACTCGCAAAACAACAATTAAAGAAGAAAGATTTACGAACACTATGCGGCCAGTTGAATACTGATGCTTTACGTTCAAACCTCGGTATTTATTATCTAACTTATAATTTATTTGTCGGAAGAAATTTTATACAAAACTGTCTGTAAAGAGGAATATGACGTGTTTTTAAAACCCTAAATCTTTCATCTTTATCAATCTTTTAAAAACTAATGTGTCGACATATTTAAAGGGAAAAAAAGATAACATATTCATTCCGTTTTGTTTCATAACTTTAATTGTTTTTGGAAGTTAAATTTAAAATTACAATGCATTCATAATTCTTGATAGTTGGCATACGTCAGGCTTATAACAGATGCCCGAGGTAAAATACCGTTTCTTACATCAATGCTATAATAATAAATCCTATAAACATCTTAAAAAATAAGTCTAAAATTTTCAGTGAAAAAATTGGCAGTTACATTGTGTTGTTTTAAAAAAGAAATGTAAAACTCTCGAGTCATTGTTTTTATATAGATTAAATTTGATTATTTTTCACAAGTAAGAAAGCCTAGTATCTATTCATTACCGTTTTTCTTCTGAACATGGCTTCCTTCTTGTTATATATCCTCATGTTTACCCCCACTACTTCATTTCATCTGATGACGACACGTGTAAATTGTGTTGAAACGTTATGTGCTTTGTTATTAAAGAAGGGAGTTATACCATAATATATCCTTTGTGTTTTTTGTTTTGCCTAGTATCTACACTTCAAAGTACAGATAAGAGAGGGGGGGTGAAATCATAAAGAAAAAATATTTATGGCACGTTATTTCATCAGAAAAAGTTTTGTCTCGTTCATAGTTCGTTGACCATAAGAAGCCGTCACTAAAATATCATGATATTTCACCAGAAATTTATATTTCACCGAGATTATCATTTGAAATCCCCAATAAGCACCGCCCGCTAATAAAATTAACCGCCAAAGCGGATCTATCTTGATATCAAAATTCTTTGCGCTGAAATAAAAAAGCCTCATCTTCAGGGTTTTCACTGCCTCAATCCACACCTTTGAGCGGGCTCCAGCGCCGCGACATGACGCTTGATACACATAATAAGGTCTTTTAGCAATTCCAAAATTGAAAAATGGAGCTTTATCTCTTCAGATTTAACCAGATAGTTAGCCAATGTGAGGATTTAGGACCATTGCCTTCCATATAATCAATTGACCTAAAAACAGAAATTTGTTTGGGTGATTTTTGGTGTAAAAACACATAACCTTTTGGATTTTGATGAGTTCTTCTCTGCGATTTTTCAAAGAAAGGATATATTTAGTTGTTACCCTTGACCCAAACTTTGAATGAAATAGAGGACACCGTTTTGAAAATGCTTATGCTTGTTGGAAAGTAAACTGGGATTAAAAGAAATATTGTTTAAAACCCTTCCTGCGCGATGTTTTTTTTTAACATTTGTTTATGTTAAAAGTCATTTCAGTTGGTAAGGAAGCGACAGAGTAGCGCAATTTTCATTCGGGAAAATCAAGATGGTATCTCCTCGTTTCTGTTGTGGGCATGTTCCACCGTTACAAAATACTTTATTGTTGTTATAATGTTTTTATCTCATCTTCCACTTCCTTTGTGCATATTAAGTGACAGTGAAGTTGACGAGTTACATTTTAGTAAAAGTTTTGAAGTACAATAATAAAATATTTTCACTGTTAAAATAGTGCTCAATACATCAATTGTAGAGCGAAGTTTTGAAGTATGCAAATACAGTTTATTTGGTACAGATGTCACGAAACGATGTCAATATGTGAACCCTACAAAATGACAATAAGCCATGATTTGAGGGGGTTGTTTCATGTCCTTTCATCTACAAACACATTAGCCTATATTGTGATTTCAACCGTGTTTGATGACAAATTAATGTCCGCTTAAAACAGAAGCTTGTATCGAAGACTTGGTAGTTGTTAGTAATCGTGGTAGTTGGTAGTTTGATCTTGATCAATTGGAAGGTTTGGCAATGTTGGTTTGGAAGATGAGAAATCTTCAGATCTGACTAGGTCTTTGTACAGCCTTGGTTAGTTATAACATGACGAAGCATTGTCCAGTTAAAGTATTTAAAGAGACTTTTCTTCTTGACCAATTAAACTTTAGTCTTAGAAACGGGAATGAGCTTACAGGCAATCAGTAATAATGTTTACATCTCACCATCGAAATTTGAGCTTTCAAATCTATGTGTATCCAGAATTATCCGCAATTGCATTTTAAAATGACGGCTGGGCATTTTAAGATACTCTGTGATATATTGAAAAGACATATATAGAAATAGTGAATAAAATCCTAGTCTAATGTATTTTTAAATTAAGGAATTATGTGATTTTCGTAAATTTCTAATACTTCTGACGACTATTTACATATATTCAAGACTCAAATCAACCCCGCAAAATGGCGCACTTGTCCCTTAAATGAGATGTTTTTAGGAGAGGGCTGGTTGTTATTTATTGGAGATAAAGACATTAATTTGAAAATGATTTAGCAGGATGTATCATATCTTGTTACGTGATGGCAGTCTGATTTTGCAATGTTCAGATATATGGTCTATGTACGGGTTTGCTTGCAATGATTTTTATGAAAATGGAGCATACCAATATTTTTGTTTCACATTTATTTATTTTAAATCATATTGTGTGGTTCACAGCAGTATCGATGTGTTTTACAAATTATTAGTTTCGGTGCGGAATGATATACCTTTAAATGGCATTTTATGACATCTGTTATAGTGAAATGATCGCTGTATTTGATTGGCATTAAACGTCGAATGGAAGTACACCTGTCAAATTCGTTTATATAAACTACTCGCGGGTGTGGAAATAAACATCATGCTTAGGAAGTTCAAATATAATCGTATCATGGAAAAAACCCATCAATGTCATCCTGTTAAACACCACACGCAAACCAAAAGATAGCTTGCCAGGTATAGTCACATATGCTCACTAACATATGTGATATCATTGTTTCTAATGTATAGTTACAAATTCTCCTAAAAAAAATACTTTTTCCTGTACTGTACCCACATATCGTTTCTGTGAAATTTAGAAATAATATTTTCATACATTTCTTCCCAAATATGTGTCAACATGACAGGCTTGCGTCGATTCCCTTCCGCATTTCAAATCACAATCCTGGCGGCTCGACTGTACCCCCTATTAAGCCAGTCTATTTGAACTCCCGAATTCAGGAGGAAGCAACCTTTTACCATTGATTATAAAAAAAACTGCTGGTTATGTCATTAAAAAGTAATTTATAGTAGCCAGACAAAAATATATATAACATAAAGAGTAGGCTACAATATACTATAGATTATGTACTAAATATTCAACATAAGATATGTGGAAAGTCCGAAAGTTATGTGGTGTTAAAACGGTCGCCGAAACACAAGGAATACTAAAAGTGTAGAAGCATAATACACAGTACTTGTAAAAAGTTTTTAAAATTGAACCCCTTCCACTTTAAAGAATACTCTAGCAAGGTAACTTATGTCTTTATCGTTTTTTTTATTTCTTAAGATTCCTCATGGCGATTTGTTTGGCCTGTTTTGTTTGGATTGAAAGAGTAACTATGTCCCCTTCCTTCCTTTATATGAAATTTAGACTTATTAATATTTCTACGAAATTGTTTGCGTACACTGAAATTATTTTCCACGACACTCTTCCAATATGGGCTGTTGTTTCCGCAGTGAACCGGATAGTCGATACCGGGGAGCAGGGCCCATCTTGGTACATCTAGAGGTGACTGGACATATGGTTCGTCACTCCAGTTTGCTACTACAATGCCAGATGCTAAAAACGAAGCATCATCTTCGCCATTATTGACTGGAGTATCATCCATGCGGTTATCTGCGCCAACGGTGTAGTCAATACCGGGCAACAAACATCCAAGATGGAAGACCGACGAGTGGTACCTGGGTCCATGGGTCCTCTGCCCATACTAACTCGGGCTTGGAGTCGTCGGTCGTTGAATCTGAAATATATCAAAATTTATAATTAAAACTCTTTTTACTTGGAAATAGAATACTGAGATCCAAAAAACGCCGTTACGAGATAAATAGGTTTGAAATATCTTTGTTTCTTTGGGGGAAACAGGGCAAAGGAATTACGTTCTACGTGATATTAGAAATAAGAAGGCCTCTAGTGGAGAATCCTCTTTCATAGTGTCATTTGTCCGAGGTCAGCCAAAAAGAGAATCAACACCGCCCTATTAATTCTTCCCTTTGGACAATGTTTCCATCTAAAGCAGAAAACGAAAACTAATTACGAATAGATAGATGATTTATCATACTTTCCATCTTGACCCAGTCAGGAACCTCAACATCGTTACAGGGAGTGCAATGTCCGTCTGCCCAGTGGTATACATCATCCTTAAACTCATCCTGGGAGGATTTCTTGTTGTTGTTATTATCGTCTTTGTTGTTGTTGTTTTGGTTAGCATCAAAGTCTGAAAATTATAGTAAAATGTACTGTATGCGCTACATAATTTACAGGGATGATTTTGAAATATTTTTTTTTTAGTTTATAAATTCTTCTGCTTCCTTTTTTTTTAACATTTTCGTTAAATATTTTTGCTTTAAGTAGGTATTGGCTGTCATTTGTATTGGGGAGTTCGGCAAATTTATACATACCATTGCAAGTGGACAGTTGCTCTCTATATTGGTAGGTTCATAAAAAGTCCAGTACAATCTCATCCACTTTATGTTTTATAACTTGTAATTTGAAATATAGACAAAGGAACATTAAGCTTTATGCTAAAATTTCAGATTTTCACTTCCACGGGCAACGTTAATTTAATAAAATAAGAATGTTTAAAAAGGATCATGTGATTTACTTACATGATAGCCATGATGTTTAACCAACTAATAAAATTATTCGAGCAAAATAGTTCAGAAAAGTGATAAAACGCTGCTTTCGTCTTGAAAAATCCAAAAGCTAATGACTTTTAGACTATTTTGACGTTATGTGGGCAGAAAACAATGGAGTTCCCCCAGAAACATGCCCCACCCCTTCGTCCCTATCTCTTGCCTTTTAAAACACAACATCTCTATCAAATGAAATTAAAAATGTGCTATCTATGTCCTGGAGATTTTTTTATTTGCGAATACTCGAATTACAAATTCTGCGCAAATAATAATTCTTCACAAAATTGGGATTGAGAACAATCATAGCACGTTGTACGCATTTGCAATTTATTTTGAGCTTTGACAAAAATTAAATCTCAGAACATTGTTCTTAGCATGATCCTTTGTCATATGAAACAAACAATCGTTTTGTGGCAAATTGTATTTTTTTTTATGACGATGTTTGCAGTAATCTAGCCCAATGTTAGAGTGGACAGTTTAGCAATATTGCTCTTATTGGTTTCGAGACTACCATAAATCTTTTGGGTAATGTTTTTGTGGAGCAGCTCCGAGAAAATACAGCATTATAGTTTATTGTTACAAATTCTTTAGTGAAAAAACAAACGACAGTATGGCAGCGTTCTCGAATTTAAGCCAAATATGTCCAACACTACTGGTGCGAATGTCTTGTAAAGTTTCTTTAGTCTCCTTTTTTCAATCTAGAATATCATCAGCTTTAAAGAAAGAATTCTTAGTCTTAAAACTTTCCTGTTTTTGTTTTTGTTATCAAGCACATGATATGTTAATGCTGTTTATTACAAGCAAAATAATAATACTTACAGAATAGTCATCTCTTTTCGTTAGGAATATTTTGAAATTGCTAAAATTGCAGTAACTTGTCTCGTAACTTGCGGCGTGATTTTGTCTTGAAAAGTGAAATCTTCGAGTGTGGCGTTAGTGGCGGCACCAGTTCCGCCTTGTACAGTAAGGTACTGTTAAAGTATCAAGATACTCAAGGACAGTGAGATAGAAAACATTTCGTAAATCTAAGAAGATTGAAAGTTGATTTATTAGTTTTTAAAATGTTATGTTATATAAGGCTATATTCTTCCGGTAAAAAGACATAAAAATGGCGAACAATCCTTTGTCAATTTTATTGAATCATGAACGCAATTCACACCATGTTGACACTTTATGTTTAGGTACTTAACTTGTCAACAGCTTCTCCTGATGATCATAACCACGACATGATCTAAATTAATCATTTTAATTATCATTCAGACTCGTTGAAAATTGTGTTTCAGACATGATATGAGATATCAAGATTTATTTCAGATGTAGAAAGTATAACGACTCCAGTAACAGTCGTTTAACTTTCTTTGCTTCAATTTCATTTCAATTACAAATATTAACTTCGAAATATACACCAATGCAATAAATCGTTTTATCTTCGTGAGAATAACATGTATATGAAATAAAATGATAACAATAACAATTACACTAGTAATTCAGTGTTTGGTTACCCAATAGTAGTGCTTTTAAACATGTAACATTTTAACCCGTTAAAGATGCATGGACTCGTTTGCAAAGTCTTCGAATAAAATCGCTTTTAAAAAAAAACATGAGTATTTTCCTCAAAAAATCAATTGAGTCTAGTTCAAAAAGTCTTTGAATTCTGATTTTAAACGCTAGCTTTGTGACATATCCGTGGATTACTTCCGGTACATGCATATTTATAAATTTATATTTATGATGTATTATATTTATATAATGCGCGATGCATTGTGGGATTGTAGGGAAGATTTCGCTCTTCGGAAACGAGAGAGGTTTTGGAAATGAGTGAGACACCTGCAAATATTGAAACATTTAAGAGTTTCAACCTTGTCTTAACTATGAAATCGTGTTATAAATTGTTAATAACATCAAAAACGTCGTTTTTTGACTTCTCCATGTAGCTGTACTTGACGATCACGTTGACCTTGAATTACTTCGCCTTGACATAGATAGTCATAGTCTCTAAAATGCAAAACGTCACGCACCTCCGGGTTATTTAAATCTAAAGCTCCTCACATACAAATATCACGTAAATCAGATGTAGATTAATGTTGGATTGAATTATCAGGTTCAGTGTTATTTCAACTCTTTTAGGCAATAATTGATGACCGATGAAAGAAAAATCACCCATACATTACAACATCCACACAAAAGAGGTTTTAGCAGACATAACTCGATTAGTTTTGAAATACAACTGTAAGACCAAAATATTTGCCAATAATCACAATAAAAAGACACTGTGATCAAGCATGAGAATCACCAACAACTTCACAACTTGTGTCGGTTTTACTAGTCACTGAAAGTTCGGCCTTTTCTATTAGCTGTTTTCGTCGTATACTTGGACTCTGTCGTAGTTTTAGAATATAATGTTTTTCTCTTCTTACATCACGTAATTCGTCGTAGTATTTATATTTCGGTCTGAATTTACAAATATTGTCTTTATCTGATAAAATTCCATTTTCGTGGTTTGTGTGACATTGATGCTCTGAAACATAGAAAAGTTTTTATTATTTTACAATTTCAACTTGTCTAAAATGTAGATCCAGATGTTTCACCATCTATCCATTGTTATGCAAAACATGCATGTTATCAAAAATTGTCCACTGCATGTGATGAATGCTTGGATACATGAAAGTAATAATAAAAAAAATAATAATAATATAATAATAATTACTTTATTAGGGTAAGAAATTAGGCTAAAAAAAAGCCTTTCTTGCATTTCACCAACTTTCTATACATGCAAACAAATTTAATCAACAACAAATACACAAGCAATATAAAATTAATGACAAAAGAAACATACAATATTACTTGTTGCATAGATAGAAGCTTCTAACAAATTGTCTGTTATCGTCAGCTTAATTTTTCAAATGATTTCCTAATAAAAATAGGTGCACGGAAATTTGGTCACCGGAAATATGGTCAAACTAATATGGGCACAAGGTATTATGGTCACAAGATTTTTGGTCATAGCAATAAGGGCATTTGTAATTTGGTCCCATTTACATTTGCCCCCGTTAAAAAAGGTACTGGTATATATCCCTTGTGTTTGGCGACCCAGCACATAAGAGTAGTTCCAGGAATGCTCAGTGTCTTGACCTTGTGCCCTCATTAATGTGGCCAAAATAACGTTTGCCCGTATTACTGTGACCAAAATACCACGTGCTCGTATAGCTGGGACCATGTTTCCGGTGACCAAATTTCCTGTGACCCACGTACCTTCATCCTAAAAATAAGTGATGGGCTGCCATTGACTTATTATCAAATGACTTACCACATAAGGTAATAAATATGTAGGGGAGGGGTTATATAGGTGAAAGCCTGTTCCCCAATCCTTTTCTTATTTATATGAATAAAATATTGTGCAAAAAATAAATAAATATGCATGGATCTGTTTCGTTTTGATATACTGCATAAACTCAAGTTTCATAGCAATTCTTTTTTTATATTCTATTCAAATAACTGCATAATACGGTAGTTTAGTTTCTTTGATGTCAATATGAGTGCCCTCTTAAGAACATTTACACTTATATAAAGAAAGTGTGTCGTTTTAAGTATTTACGCACTCACTGTAGGGTGCTAAACATAAAAGAAAATAATTCAAATAGATGCAAAGGAGAACATGTAATTTGTAAATGTCAGTAAAAGACTGTTATATTGTCATACAGATAAAACGTATGCACACAAATATTGATTAGCATTTAAAATAACAGTCACCTTGATAGCTCCATTTCACAGGTATAACTCCCTTTTCTGGTATTGTAGTAATAGTAACTGGAACAGCAGCATATAAAATAGCATCAGGGAAATGAGCTTCCAACTGAAATGAAATGACAGTATGTTTTCTGAGCAATATATTTCTATATCAATATGATGTATTCATCGTTTTATTTTGTATGTTTTTCACCAAAAGTTAATATCAAACAACTTCAAATAGCAAGAACGATTTAGGAGGATATCAATTTATCTTGACGATACATTCATTGGTTTAATTGATTGGGTTCTCATCAAAAATTAGTATTTTAGCACATTAAATATTTAAATAGTTCCAGGTAACTAGAGTTTAAGAGAAACAAAGCATCTTTGTCTTCAACTTCGTCATTCGTCATAGCATGAGCAATTATAGGAGAATATAAATATATCTTGAAGATGTACTAATAGAATCATTCCTGGCTTTTCATCAAAAGTTAGTATTTAAGCACATCAAACACTTCAGGTATGGATGCAGTTAAAGGGACATATGCGCCATTATGAGGGTTTAATTAGTGAATATTTGTAAATAGAAATACTACATCGCAAAAATATCTCAAACTAGAAAATGTCTTTTTTTTATATATGGCAGTGTCTCAAGAAAAGGCGAGTCATCTTTTTAACTTTCATAATCCTGGACACACGTGGATTTGAATGTCGCTTTAACTCTGTTTTAATCTAATCTCGTGTAGGAAAATTTATTATTTTATTTATTTCATGGTTTAACCCAGACAGGCGACCAAACCAAGAAAAAAACATTTATAGGCTATGCAGTAGTTCATACTTACCGCTACACAATATCTAACATCAATAACTCGACATTTTGACAATCTAGAAGGACAAGTCGGTGGTATATGTATAGAGAAATCTTTCCAATGACGACGTTGACCAGGTCTCATTGCATCTGTCAATTCTACCTCCTCTAAAACTACTGCTGCAGTATATGTATCCCCGTATGTTAACAACTGCAATGAATATATTTGACTAATTTAGACTAACAAAAACAAAATATATTCATTGTAAAAATTGTGATGATACATTAATTGTAGAGCGATGAAGAAATATCAAAACACCGGCTGAAATAGGTCAGTTGATTGAAGATCGCACAGTCTGAAACTCTGAGTAACAACATTTTTTAATTCTGTTTCAATTTCTAATAACAACAACCCAACCCCCCCCCCCCCTCCTCCGCCATATCCATAGTAGAAAAGATATGGTATTAGATTAGCACCATATACCTGTTTCAGTTGAATATCACAGTGGCCGGATTTTCTCATTGACATGTTGTGAAGTTGTACATCTATATGAATGGTTTCCCCTGGCACATAGGCACGTTTTATAACAGATAAGGAACAGGTAACTCTACCAGGACGACAACAGACTGAACTAAAAGATCTTTCAGCATGGTCTTCTAGGGCATGTCTAGGCTGAAAACGAAACAGATAACCCATACCAAGGATAACGTATGCTTTTACGGTGATCAAAGATTACTGAATCAGAGAAGAATAGACGTTTGACAAGACGAAAAGTGGTTGTCACAGCAGATACTTTAGAGCTGTTCAAAATCCTAAAGTCCTCGCCTGCTTCGAGAGTATAACCTAAAGACATGAATGGAAATGAACATACGGTCAATGTACATAGTTTCATACTTAAAAAATGTTCTAAATATTGAAAATTTTTTTTAAAGTAATCCTCCAGCGACAATTAGAGGTATAGATCGTATCACATAAAGGAACATATTTTAAACGTACATGTATACTTTTTAGTAAATGGTACAAATTTTAACAATTTACAATTGTGTTCTGTATTGTTTTATAAATGAAGAACAGAGAAAGGTAAAGACATACCGATGGGGTTCGTTTTTCGGCATCTCGTTTGGTATCTAACTCGCGAAGAACAGTAAAATGTTTTTGAGTTGTTAAATTATCACCAGATGTTCTGAGAACGATACCCAACACAGTATATCTGACACTGGCTTCGGGACCTTCAAATGAACAGGGTATACTTTCTGGTAGTTTATACTGGAATGGAAATAAATGGCGCCCTCTTTTTAGCACTTCTCGACTCACCCAACCACCTTCATCTGTAACTGAAAAAAAATAATTTGAACAAATTGGGAAGAAGTTTCAAATTTTATATAAAACCTTGCTTATCAAAATCACTGATGATTGTTTCACTGATGGTTGTTTATAACCCACTTTGATTTATCAAGGTCTTGCAAGTTATTCTCGTAAAACGAAATTCGTGAAAAAGGGCGGCGAGAGAGTATGATGCTCTTAAAATCACCCAGGGTTTACGTTTACGTCAATAATTTTGCCTGAAGCACTTAAAGAAATAATTCTTCACTTTGACAGTCACAACATTATGCAGAATTGTATAATATCATCATTTTAATATTTTTGTTTTTAGGAGTGATAAAAAAATCCCTGTTAATCCTCTCAAATGTAATTAAGAATAGCAATAATTGCTTATGTCCGTTTACTATTGATTTATAAATTAATTACAATACTTTGACATTTGTATTTAATAAACCATGACCCCGGTTAAATATAATATCCAATATAAATCCATCTTATTATTATACATACGAGTACAATAGAATCACCAAAGTAACTAGTACAAAAGCAATTCATTTTATAATTCCTATTTATTTCCTTTCACTAGCATAATTTCTCTGGAGAATTGACATGTATTAACTCCTTAATATGTTATTTTTCGTTTGACAGTTATAACAAAATATTTTAGTACATGTAAATTCATGTTGATCCTTTACTTAAGTAAGGTAAAGTAAAGTAAAAGTTCTACTTTTGAAAAAAGTCATATAAAGATATGATTTAGAATTTTTAGCTTTAATCTGTTCAAAAACATCTCTTAACCATTCCAACTTACTATTATGAATTTTCTGGAATTATTGTGTAAAAACTAAAACAATTCCTTAAATAAACATCGCAAATAGAGAAAATCAAGAAATCAAGATCAAAACTATGGTCCATGTCGTGTCCAATTCTGACTAATTTTAGAGAAGCAAAGGCATTAACTCTCAACCGTTGATGAACGTGGTCAGACGAACGAACCAAACAAAGATGACGACAATGCATTTCCACATTATTATCTGGGCGTACAGAAAGTAAATGAAATGTGCAAACAGGTTTGACAGCAAGTTTAGTCACAAATCACAGATTTGAAACCAGACACAGATAAAAGATACAATAGAAACGTATTTAAACAAAACCATTATGTAAATTACAACACATGGCTGAAAAGCTAAAAATATTCAACAGCTTTTGAAGATGGATGGTGCTGTCTTATGCTGAAGTTGAAAAATATTTCTGACAGTATCTAACAAATACTAACATGCTTGTAAAAAAGATTATCATAAGGCCTACCTGTTCCCCATAAACAGAATCTGTCATCAAAATAAATTTCCTCTTTTTCGTGCTCTACCTCAGTTCTTCTTAACCCTTCATGAGCATGTTCTCTCCATTTAGCTCTAGCATTACCCTTAAACCTTAGTTCAACACCTGCAAATTTAAAAAAAATAGATGTTATTTTCACAATGTATATCTTTCAATAACAATAACGTATGTCGATATAAAATAAAATATTTATCACAATTCTGTTTCTGACATTTATTCTATATTTAAAGTATTGATTTAAGACGCATAATTATTAGATTTGTTGTTGAATGGGAAGAAATCTAAAATGGTTTAACGAGCAGAAACCTAGCACTCTCATACAAGACATGCAGTCAAATCTAAATTTTTGTGAAAATATTCATATTCTAAGTATTAAATCGTTCATAATTGTAATATCTTTTACAGTCTTGCTGAAATAAACGTTTCGATATATTACCGTTATATAGTGGACAATATTAGGGATAGATTCATACTCTCTTATAACTTGTCAGACCTATCCATGAATTTTTCATGTAGTTCATCTTACAAACTATTATATGAAATAAATATACTATTACAAAAGTTATAAGTTCAATAAAACATTTTGAAACGAGTTTCAGAATGCGTTCCACCTATGCTTAAAAATAAAGATGGTGTGGACAGAATTCAAATGGCAGAGGAAGAAATAGAAGGACAATTTTGAATGTAACATATCCGGTTCCATACAGCTCGATTGATGCCAGAACTAACCCATCGTGCTTGAAAAGACACACTTTTAAGTCTTGAGGATAAATTTCATTAATAAGAAAAGACTGATTATATATCACGTAGGGCTACTATGGACAATTTAGTGGTAGCGAGGCTATTCGAGATTGAGCAATTGATAAACAATGAAAGCGGAAGCATCGGTCTACTGAGCACTACCAGTTAGTGAAAGAAAGTTCGTTTAATGCTTTTATCTGGCATCCTGACTCACTTATGGTTCTTAAAATCCGTCTGTAATTTGAAAACTGTAGTCAGAATAAAATGGTTATCTAAACAGAATATCTTTAACGTTTCCTTTTAATCTGGATATAGACGAATAATGGTGAATCAAATCGGACTTTAATTGACAGTTGTGGATGCACTCGCTGCTAATATTAACTAAGACTATGTTACTCATTTTAGATGCGAGATTTGGAATTGTGAATGGAAAATTGCTACTGAGACTATTTCACCCTAAGTATCTGCTATTGTTATTTATTTCATCGTCCTAGTCTCTATAATTGTATCATTTCTATAGGCTACACCAGTTTATGTTAATTGATTCCGGGTACCAGACAAGATATTGGATCGTGAATTAACGCGAACCTAATTCTCTACTGAATTCACGTTTTCTTTAGTAAATATATTCCATGTGAACCTCGACTCAAACAGGATTCCCGTGCTAATAATAGTGGAATTTCAATCGATATTGATATCATTTATAGTAAATACTTCCACTGGCTTTTCAATAAATATAACCATTTGCCAATTAAAAAAAAGAATTGACTACAGTGTGAACGAGGTCAAGTAACAGTCGCATGGAATTGACCAAGTACCACATCCTCACCTGATATTGTTACCGGATTCTGTAAATGTACTACCAGAGCACCACGAATCCTTTCTCCTGAACGAAACACTAGTTCTTGGTGTTCAAGGTTTAATTCGATACTGGACGCCATGCTAGACACTCTTGACGATTGGGAAGCCCTGGTTGACGTCCACTGTGTATCAATTCTTACATGGCGTCCACATTTCTCTCCCACATCCTATTCATTCTCATATGTTAAATACACAACAAAATATAAAAATTGTCACCATTCTGTTTCCATGACAACTGCAAGAGACAAGTGTAATGAAAATCCCCTATTTGAAATGGAATCAATGCCAATATGTATAATTTTCCAGTGCCTTCCCTGATGGAAAGACAGCGCGTGCTAATATCTTGTGTCGTCTGGTTTTTCTGCTTCACAATTCTCGTGAAACGGATCGATACATACTGACAGAGTTATTCTAAAATGAAATAATGGTTATCATCTCAATATTGTCTATTAGCCAGAATTGAGTTGTTAATATTGATGAGAATATTATTTTACTTTGTTCTAACGTTCTGAGTTTTTGCACTGTGTTTCTTGCTCGTCATTAAAATGTAATTATCTCCATATTAACATACAGTATTAATTAGCTTATCTTTTGATACTATTATGTTGTAATTCATGAATATTAACTAATATATTTTTTAATTTTCTAAAACTCTGCTTTTGTTTGCATACATTTATATTTCTCTATAACAGTGAAAATATTCATATTATTGTAATATTTATATGGTATAATTACAAGCATGGTCGGTCAAAGATAGAGTTGTACGCCAACAAAGGATTAAATTACGTTGTGATTTTTTTAAAATAACATTTTTCGACCATCTCCACTAAACCGAGATGCATAAGTTTTAAATATGGTAAAAACTGAAGTTCAATCGCATCAAAATTGGGCCAATATTAAGTGGAATAACTATATTATTAACAATATTCTGAACTACCGAAAATATCTTAAAATATACCTATGTAGTTTTTATTCAGATTAAATCCATGTTAAAGTCTCTGATACATGTAGAAGACTTATATATCGAATCTTCTTTAAAATAAGGGTTTGGTAAGTAAAGGGCAATAACTCAAAAATCGCAAAAATCAAATCTTATTATTAAATAGAATAGCAGGTTTCGTAATAATTTTTCGGAATCTGCGAAGAGTCTATTCACCATCCAATTATGACCAAGCCAACATCATTGGACTATTGAAATATTCAATCTGAATAACTTATAAAACTAAATGTTTCGTTTCGTTTCGTATTTATATTCTGCTAGTGACGCCAGATGTCACCCATGATTTGAAATTGTTATCTGTTATTCTGTGATATTCATTGTTAAACAATCCTTGTAGAAACGGTCCTATGCGAGAATTTAGAACGTCCGATTCTTCCCTCCGCCATGATCTATCGGTCGGGCCCAATCGGGTCAAAAGTAGAGGACGATTAGAGGCGATTCAAGAATATCATAGATATGTTTCTTCGGGGACCAGGTCAGGGCAATTGAGAAAACAAAACAATTCTTAGTGAAATAGGGGTAATAATCATTTATCTTCGATCACCGAAGATTCGTTTCATCTGAGAGCATTATTATGTCTCATTTTATCGAGTAGTAAATAAACAAATAATGCAGGGTGTTCACATTTTCAGCGTAATTTATCATTTCAACGTCAGAACATTTCAGCTCTATTGTAGAGGAGGATTAAGAGAACGTTTATCGTTTTTAATTCGCGGGCAAAATACAACCTATTTGTGCTTTAGGCGATCAAAGTATCTTTGTGTGGATTATAATAGTACCTCCTGGAGAAGAGAACCACATATTTCAAATCACAATGTTACACCTACACAAAAACAAATAATTATAATACTAACAAAATATAATGATTCGGGGGCCGAATACAAGCGTCCACTGTGGTGTGCATGCCTATGCATAACACGATTGGATAATACCTCCAGCTTCTAAATGTAAATTTTCGTCATGATTGGATAACTGTCGGTTCTATCGTGTCTACAAGAACTGTGGATGGAATAGGAGCAACGACAATTATAGCCATCAACATTGCGATGAGCGTATCAATTTGATTACCTACTAAAGCGATTGTTAAGAGGTTTTCTTAAATGTAAAATATTGATGACGTCACTATATACAAAATGTGCTTTATCACATAAGGCTCTTTGCGATAAGCGACGTCATCAAACACTTAATTATAGTGGAATTGCACGTCTAATTGAAAATTGGAATGGTGCAAATTGATGCTATCAATGTCCCCGAAAAACATAATATTTTTAGAAAAGCTTTTTACAATCAAGGTGGGTTTCCTTAATTTTTAGTGTTAAAATAAGCAAACTATTTGATTAACACCAATCATAAATGTCCATGTACATACAGGATAAAACAAAAATACTTTTTGACCTTTCTTGATCGGTCACTTATTGGAATTCTACTGGTAATTGTCTTCTAATTTTAGCTAATTATGAATTAATTATGGACATGTGACACAAACTTGTACACCTCTACTTTCTATCCATATAGGTATTAGCATTTTCATTTTCAAAAATGAAAAAAGGGAACCCATCTTTAAGCATTATTACAAATGATACAATATACGTCCATGATTATGACAACTAAAAGGAAAAAGACCAGATAGCTAGGTTATAGCATCAAGAAATGTGATCAAATGTGAATGAATAATTATTGCAGGACATCATGTTCATGGATATGAACCTTAAGAAGAGTTGTTAGCCGATTCGGTGTCACATGAAAAAATATGTTACATCGATGGCAGTTGTGAATATTAAAGTTAATGGTAGATATTACGAATATAAAATATATATAAACAAACAGGTGTAATCCTAAACCAAATTTCAATAATAATAGAAATTCAACGGATTTTCCTTTTAAGATATAAATACAAAACTTAATAATAATTTATTTAAAGTTTTGGACGCGATATTTAAAAAGTTTGCGTTTACAGTGGCTCAACTGCCATAGGGACTAATTGGGTTGACTTACAGAGGGGTCTCAGAATACAGGAGAGCTTATGCTAAAAAATAAAATTCCTTGGGAGGGGCCCCAACCCACTTAAGTCCATGGGCCACAACTCATCTAGCCATTGGTTTTTGATTTTCATCAATGAACAACAGCACTAAATCGCCCAACACAATTAATCCAATCTCTAAAGGTAGCTGATAAAGTTTCACAGACTGTTATTTGTCGGCATGCATCATCACAATAGACTTTATCAGTACTTCTAGCATGTCTGTTGCTCCAATATTTATTAAATACATTAATATCCTTTGACATTCTGAAAATAAACAGAGAAGTTAAATCAATTCCGACTATTACATAAAATCATCTTTTGGCGGAAACATAATGGTATACCAACAATGGAATGGAATTCGACATCTTCGAATCATTAGTACAGATAAG